TAAATGATAGCCTCATGTTTAAGATGCTTATGTTGACTGCAGGAAACAGGCTTCTCTGTTTACATCAGGGGGGTTGGTCTGAATTGGAAATATTTAGGTTTTCCACTATCTCAGTTTTGAATCCCAATTATCACATTTATCGTGGGCGTGGTCTTCCTCTTCATCTTGGCTGTAAGTGTCATCCTGGAACTGAAAATGTGTCTTGATATGTTTTGCTGCTATTGTTATGTTCCTATGGTCACTGCTGCCCACTATCTCACTTCCACCAATTGTCTTTTTCACCTGCTTGTGAACCGTTCAGCATGGGGATGTTGAAACAAAGATCTCTGAGCACTGATGCTGTTAGAGATGCAGGGAAAAACTTGAGTGCATGAAAGACTTCATCTTTACTCTTAATGCTGTTTAACATTGTTGTTCAAAGTTGTAAACTGTTATGTATTCATCATTCATTCTTTGCCCTAATGTATGCTTCACTTTGTGAACAAAGGTTTTACTTTTTGCTGAGATTGTGCTAATTTCATACAAAGCTAATAAACTTTTTACACATTGGGATGGCAGGGGAGGGGGGCAAGAGGGGAGGCAGGTTGTATTTCACTTCAAAGTGTCAGTCCTTTGTTTCCATCCTTGTCAAGTTTGAAAGAACTCAGGAACTGCAGCCAATGCATCATTTCTTTAGGCACAAAGTAGCTGGGAATTAAGATATCTTGTCAAAGTCAAGTGTCAGGTTGTATTATCCTTTCTTATGTTTACTAATATGCTTGCTATGGTTTCATTGCTGTAATAAAAGTAATCAGGAGGAGGCAATTAATGGTTTCCTTTTTAGCTGTGCAATAGTGGTCTACATGAGAAATGTTTTTGTCATGAGCCATTGATGGCTATGGAGGAAAACATTCTTTAAGCCAAATTTTAAATACTTTATTAATTGAAAGAAAAAATAGTATTTTACTGACAAGTGACATGCCCTTGCAGGCTTATAATTTTAACAATGAAGAAGTCCTGGAGAACATTATTTAATTTGCTTTTGCAGCTATTAGTCTCTATGAATTAGTATTATTTTCTTGTTCATATAGTTATTCACAAACAAATTCACAGAAAACATAATTCCTTTTAGAAGATAAACTTTTTTTTAATCTGTCCCTTTCACATGTCATTTTAGACCAGACAGTTCATCATGAACTGTTGAAAAACTTCTGCAGAAATGGTAAAAAAACTTTCCAGTAGTGGTTGATGTCATTTCTCACTAATGTGCAGTCATTGCTCAGTTTATACCAAAAAGAAAATGTTGGAGTCACTGCTGTAAAGTTCTGTGAATAAACTTCAGCTCCCTTGCTTATAAAAATGTTATGCAAATATAAACCATAGTGGTTTAAGATGCTTTTTTCTTCCTCTTTCTTCAGATACTCTCATAGGTCTCCGACACAGTTCAGAGAGCAAATTTCTTTTTCCCAAGTTCACCAGGCAGCTCTAGCAGCTCTGACAACCTTACAGCTCCTCACCAGCATGGGTACAATGAATCTGCACAACTGTTGGAGTCATCCCCTATTTGTAGGTTGCTGAACTGGGAAAGCTGGGGTAAGGCTTTTGTCTCCAGACCTAGCCAGAGAGACAACTTACTGCTCTGTCCTAAAACCTTCAAGTGCCCCTACACAGCAAACACCTGCTTGTATAGCTGTTAGTGAGCCTTTGGGGAAATTTGCTTCTTTTGTGCCGCTTCCTTGCCTGAGTCATGAATGTAAAACCCGAGTCCTGAGGTCATGATACATTTAAACAGGTAGACTTTCAGATGTGAATATGCTTCCCGTTGCCTTTTTTTTAGGTGTCCAGTTATCTTTAAAATGACAGGGAAGGATTTTTTTGTTTAAAGGTCTGAGACTTATTTAAAGGCTACTGCTCTTTACTGAAAATAAGGCTGTAATCAGCAGGTACCTTGCTTAGCATTGCTCTGCAAAGCTCAGATTGATTCAGATTTTTCTCTGTGTGAGAACTCAAATGAATTGAGGGGTGTCCTCTGAAATAAAGGACAAGTACTCATTCAGTCACTGCTGTAGTTTCAGTTGGTACCGTAGCAGGAACTGTAGTTATTCTGTAATTTGCCTAGGCATGACATGCAGGCAGGATTTAACCCACACCACAAATAAACACTTGTTTATTGCTCTGTTTGGAAGTAGCCGGTTGAAATGGAAGAGAACCCCTCATTTCTCCTGTGCTCTGGGATGCAACATGTTGGCTCTCAGCCACAAAAGGGGAAGTGCTGCATTGCTGGTTCCTGGGAGCTGGGGGACAGGCATGTAGTGTTTGCAGGAGGGAGCCTGACAGAGTTTGGACCTACATTATGTCAGCCAAAATTTTAATATAGTCTAAGGTGTGTGACTATTTAACGTAGCAATAAAACCACTAGTCTGGTTGTAATCATACTAGCCAAAAGCATGCATTTGCAAGTAAGGAGGGTGGAATATTAGAGGAAGAATGGAGAAATATTGGAGTGAGTGAGAGAGAGTAAAAAAAGATGTAGTGCTATGCTGCAAGTGCAGTGTGAGTAGTCAGCATAGGAATTGCCACTGAATTTGTGTTCCTGAATGAGAAGTTCATTTAGCAATAAAGCATAGTGGAGAAAGCATTTGGAGGGCATGGTAGAGCCTTAAATATCACCCCATCCTCACAGGGGGAGAATGAAGTAATGAAATAAAACCACATTTCTAAGAAATTGTTATTGCTTTTTGCAAGTGACATGCATTTCATAATTCTGGAACCATTACCAGTAATGAGTGTAGTCATGCCAGACCCTTTAACATACAGAGGGAAGGACCAATAGAGGTAGTTCGTAGATACAGAAAAATTACATCTTTACATTATTTGGGAAAAAGCCAGTGAGTTTCAAGCTGGTGCTGTTCATTGGATTTCATCAGTTATTTGTCCTGTTGTAATTTCTTTTTAATATTTTTCATTTAGATCATAGAAAATCTTACTTTTTTACTTTTGCAACATATTGCTGATAGCTGTATCTATGAATACTGTAGTTATAATAATAATGTGCACAAGGATTGCTTCAGGACTTCTTAAGGAGATGAGCAGAGCAGTGGAAAGTGGAGTGCTGCCAGAGAAAGGAAGCACTAATAGAAGGCAAAGAAGCTAGTGGTCATGCAGTTTGTCTTGTGAGAAGTTACAGAATTTTCTTCTATTGTAACAATTGTGATTCACTTGAACACTTTGTTCAAAAGATCTGCACAAAGAGTAGTGCCTCCCCACCCACCCCTACTCCATGGTGCAGTATTTTATAACACTTGGCTCAGAAGGAAGACTGCATTTCACAAGTAACCAGCAGTACCGTTTTCTTAAACATCTGGGGTAGATTTACAATAAGGAGGTTAAGACCAGATCAGTTGCCTTAAATCTTGGACAAGGTTGCAGACTGTGATGATAACTGTGGGATACACATTTTTACTCTTCTAACATCCCTGGGGAAAAGAAGCAGGGGCAACACAACAGAAAGACAAGTTGCATTTGAAATAAAAACAAATAGAAAATACTAGGAAAGCAAGCATGAGGCTTTTGAAAGCTACTGAAGGACCTTCCTGAATACCTCAGCTAGGATGTGAATTAATAACAGCTGGGTAAAGAAGGAACACATGAGCCTGCAGAACTCCTTGTATTGGAAGTCAGAACACAGAAAGCCAGTTAGGCTGACCAAAATTTAGTGGGTTGGGTGTAATAAAGAACAAAAAGATTCATGTTTGGTATGTGACCATATGGAAAACGTGAAAGCACTATAGTAGGACAGAATGCAGATCGAGGAGACTAAGGATATGGTCCAGCTTCTAAGGAAGTGCTTTTGCCTATGTTAGATGAGGTCAGAGTAATATAAAATCAGAGATGCAAGAAAAGCACGTGATTGTGGGAGAGCTGCACAATCTCTATTCCAGTATACTGAAAGTATGCGTGTATATCCATTACAGTGCAATAGGAATTCTGTCAAGTCTGACATTTGGAAATTATAGTCTTTGGAGAAAAGAAACTTACTTGTTTAAGATTGGAGTTGAGGGGAGAGGGATGTGACTTGCACAACTATGCTTTTACCTAGTTGAGCATCATTGTGGGAGTGTCTTAAAATGGTTCTTGTATGAAAAGTACTCAAAAATACATACGTGTCTTCCTCATGGTCATATCAGCTTGGCAATGCAGCTGATGAACCGTATAAAATAGCACACTTTTTCTGAACTGCGAATGCACAATTTAATATAATTCCTACTATTCTGTTCCACAAGTTGATGGTGCACCAAGAACTGAACAATCTACTCTCCCTCTTCAGAGCTGCTGTAATGTGCAGTTTTGCATTGCCATTCATCTAGTCCGTGTAACAAGGTCAACAATGAAAGCACACAAAGTCGAATGAAATGTAGGATCAACAATCTGTGATGAAACCGCAGTGGAATGGCTTTGTTGCTGTTATTAATGGTGATGTGCTATCTAGGTTTAAGAACAGCACTTGAAACAGCCTTAGAAAGCGTGTTTAAAGAAGAAATGACAGTGATTCATGGTAACTGATGAACAAAGCCGTGACTATGGAGGGAGGCCACACAAGGCTGTTTTGAAATGGGAATTCCTGTCTCTCTCCGCTGCATCACATGCTGATGAGGGCGCAAAACCCCCCATTTCATCAGTTCTGACAAGGAAAGTGTGGCTTGTGCAGTTCTCTGTGTATGATCATCATATGGGCTGGAAGAATACGAATGGTGTTAAATTGTGAGTTTGGAAGTTAAGAACAAAATCTATGCCATTTCATAGCCCATCAGCTGCACTGCCGCTCTCACAGGACTGTGGACACCTCTAGTATTGTTTTCATAGCTGCATTAGCTCGGGCAGCAGCAGGTGGCGTGCGTTTCTGCTTACTACAAATAAATGCATCGGTTTTAACACAAACAGATGCAGCAACAGGCGTGCTAACATGTCTAGAGAAACTAAAAAATAAAGAGGACATCGGCTGCCCCGCGGCCGTGCCCCTTAACGCCTCTCAGCCCCTCACGCGACGCCGCCTAACGGTCGCAACGGTCGCAACGGCCGCGGCGGAGCGGGAAAAGGGCGGCGCTGCCTCACGGCGGCCACGGGCCGCGGCCGGCGGTTCCGTCTCGGCCTGAGGCCGTCACTTCCCCGGGCGGGGCCGCGGCTGGAGGCGAGTCCCAGTACCCGGCAGCGGCACCGGCGGCGGCAGCGAGCGGCGCTGAGGGGCGGCCGGGGGCAGAGCCTGTCCCCTGCAGCGGGTTTGAGCCCCCCGCACCCGCGGAGGTAGGAGGGGGCTGAGTTCGTGAAGCCCCCCGAGGGGGGGGGGGTTGGTTGGTTGGGTCCGAGGTTTGGGGGATTGTTGCTGGGTTTTTGTGGGCTGTCGGAGCCTGTATTTAAACGTATTTTTTATTTATCTTCGTGTTCATAAGAATATCGTCTTCATTTGTTATGATTCTGTGTGTGCTAATAAAGCGCCGCCGTGCTGTTGATTCTATAATGTCTTTTTATTCTGTTTCTCAACGGGAGGAGAGAACCACCTTTTGCATTAAAAAAGTTGGGTTTAGATAAAATATCAGCACCTGCATACACGTTTCATTTGAGCCCTTCAAAAGCACTCGGAGTACTTTGAAGGAAGTGAAATTTTTCCCTCTCTCTCCTTAGGGTCTCTGCAAACAGAAGTGAACTGATACCTCTGGTGCTTTTAATTCCGAACAAGATGAAGATCCCCTCTGTACTGCTGAGGTTTCCTCATCGTTATCTCTTCAAAAGAATGTATTTCAAGAACTTTCACTGCCCTTCCAGATCAGATTTCCTGTGCATTGGGTCTCTCACGCTGGTGCGCCCGTATCATACAAAATGGATGTGTTTGTCAGAGGGTTTGAAGAGAGAGCTGTGTCACCAAGCTGCCCCTGACCAGCAAGCAGAGGGACTTTCTGACAGAGAAAACAGACTCATAGACAGACTTTACAGTGGACTCATCCAGGGCCACAGAGCCTGTTTAGCTGAAGCCATTACACTTGTAGAATCAACTCAAGCTAGGAAAAAGAAAGTAGCCCAGGTGCTCCTTCAGAAGGTATTATCCTACCACAGGGAACAAGAAAAGTTAAATCAAGGAAAGCCACTTGCCTTTAGAGTGGGTTAGTCTTTTTATGTCTGTCCAGTAGTTGCTTTGCTTTGACAGAATTACAGCGTTCACCTTTCATTCTTACTGTTACTCTTTAAACACTGTGGTCAATAGTCTTTCATCAGTGGTTTCTTGTGATTCGTAACCAACCTCTATCACTTCTGTTGTCCAGAAGAGTTATGGCTTGGGCTGGAAAATGTTATTGAAAGAAATCAAGATATAATTGACACATCTTGAGTGGTTGGGAGACAGTGGTTGTTGTGATTTTTGTTTGTTTGTTTTTAATATGTATAACAAACTGAAATGTTAAGTAGTTGACTGATTGTTACGGCTGTCATCTACACTTAGATAGGGAAGGATGTAGTTAAGCAGACACGTTCTTTTCCTGAAGTAAATGTTTTCTTGAGCTCATTCTGAGTCCTTTCACTAATTCATGAAAGGACGAATATGTACCTTCCTGTTTTATGGTGTTACTTCAAAGCAGCTTACTTTTTGACTGAGAAGAGTTGAACCTGGCTGTCTTGGAAACTGTAAAATGTTCTTCCCTTGCAAAGAGCTGCACTAAGTAAAATTGGTCATGCCCATCTCTCATCTCTTGTGTGTACAGAGGTTGTAAGAACAAGAACTTGGGCATGGGAATGAGAAATACCTTGTGCAGGTTTTCAAGTTAATCCTTCTTTATATGCTTTGAAATGGAAGTAAATTGCCCAATTTTTGAAATACCAACCACTCAACGTAAGGGCTTATACTCCTGAAGTATCTCTTGTATAAATCTGAAAAATACAGTTTTAGGGTATTACAATTTAAAACTTTATAACATAAACTAGTATAGATAAATTTCTTTGGAGGAGAGGAAATAAGGATAAACCGAATGGTATGGGTAGGATGAGGGGTGGTGAAGTGAGCGCTGCCGTCTAGGGTGAACCATGGTGTTGTGTTTCAGGTCAATTGCATTTGCTCACTGGGGTATATCAGTTGTGGCACTTTTTGTGATCTTGCAATAAAATAGGAATTACCAACTTAACTATCAAGTGTTCCCATGATGTATTATTTATTTAATTATCAAGATCTTTTTTCTTCCTATTTTCCTAATGTGATTATTAGGGTTGTCTGGTCCTCCTGGTGCTGGGAAATCAACTTTCATAGAATGCTTTGGGAAAATGCTTACAGAAAGAGGACACAAAGTGTCGGTGTTGGCTGTAGACCCTTCTTCTAGTACAAGTGGTGGTAAGTAGGACTTAATGTTTCTGTCAGGTTTCTAATACCTTGTCAAACATAAGAGTGTCTCTTTGGGGCAAATGGAAGAAATTTTTGGGCCCTATGAAACTATTACAAAACTACTAATGTATCACTTTTTCATTTTTCCCCCCGTGCATTTTGAAATTGAGAATTATGTATCAAAACCCTCAATTTGTCAAGTTTACTCTTCTCCAATGTTCGAATGCTGTTTAACATTTTTTTGTCTGAAACTTTGCATAGTCACTGTTTTCTCTCTACCTTTATTAACTTACTTAATGCCATGTCAGTGAAGGAGAAGAACATTAATTTCTACTTAAATTTCAGAAGTGACAGTGCTGATCACTAGGCAGGACATAATGCTAATTTAAAACTATTTAGAAGATGCTGCAATCCAAATGTATCTGTCAGGTTAGAGTATAGAACATTCATTAATTCTCTGTAAGAATTTCTAGCTTTTTGTTGGCTGTATCAGTGTCATGGTTTCCTGCTGCACTGACCATTAGTCTGACTTGTAGCATGGCCTGCTGATTTTTTTTAAATTTGAGATTCCTCAAAATTGCGTCGCTGTAATGTGCCACTCTCAAACTTTTAGGGAAATTCTAGGCTGACCAGGCGTGATTAATGATATCTGTAACTTAAATAATAGAACCTTGATTTTGATCCTTTTCTAATGGGCAGCTGTCAGAGAACATCATTCCCTTTTCCAGTATCTACGCTATTATAGGAGATGCTGCAATGTAACTATTTAAAAAAAAAACAAAAAACAAACAAATTGAAGCACTGCAATGATTTAGAGTTAAGAAATAGTATATTATTGCATGTATACATTCAAGACACATGAATAGAATAGCAAAATGTGGTGCTAAGACTGTACCAGTTATATGAACTGAGCATCTATTGTCTTTTGGAATGTGCTTTTATATATGTAGATCTTAATGAATTTGATGCAAAGTTTGTATGAATAATAGGAAGGCAGGAATGTATCTAAGTTTTCTTAAAAACAAACAAAAATCATCAACAAAATCTTACGGTAAAGATTTGTCCCTTTGGAAAGAAACAGCAAAGATTAATTAGCAGCTCTTAAAAAAAGAACTGTTCAGGAAGTGCAGAATCCATTCTGACCTAGAACAAACTCTTTGTGTTTGGTAGCAGTAAGGCCCACTTGTCAGGCCTTTCCAGCCAGCCAGGAACTTCCTAGTCCTGAATAAAGTCTTTAACAACAATTATTGGAATATTGTTTCATGACTTATTTCTTCCAAGATATCTACCTTTTTCTCATTTGTTTTGGTGGGGGCGGGGAACAGGGAAGGAAAGTCTAGCTGTTTGGCACAGTTGAAATAATTTAATAGTAAATGTTTAAGGTTCTCTATTGGGTGATAAAACACGGATGACTGAGTTGTCAAGAGACATGAACGCATACATCAGACCATCTCCAACCAGAGGGACGTTAGGAGGTGTAACAAGGACCACGAATGAAGCCATTCTGCTCTGTGAAGGAGGAGGCTATGATGTTGTTCTTGTGGAAACAGTAGGTATGTGCTTAGGGTTTTCTTTCGGTTATCCTGCTGTGACACCTAAATCAGACGTGAGACACCTTGCACGGTCACTGGGTAGAAATGCATGCCTGTTCTGTCAATTTTCTAGGCCTTTATATTTTGTAGAAACACTGGAATGGTATGTTCCCTGTTGTTTGTTTATCACTGGTGAGGCAGTGGCACAGGTTGCCCAGAGAAGCTGTGGATGCCCCATCCCTAGAGGTGTTCAAGGTCAGGTTAGATGAGGCTTTGAGCAACCTGGTCTGGTGGGAGGTGTCCCTGCAGGGGAGTTCAACTAGATGGGCTTTAAGGTTCCTCCCAACCCAAACCATTCTGTGATTTGTGGGTTTTGGTCAAATCAGAAAGGTAGTGCAATACTATGATATTCATGTTGTCATTAATGTGACTGTGAAAGATTGCCATAAATAGTGAACTCTGGGTTTAATTTTTCAGGAGTGGGACAATCAGAATTTGCTGTGGCTGATATGGTCGATATGTTTATATTGCTGCTGCCACCTGCAGGTGGAGATGAATTACAGGTATTGTTCTGTTTCTCTTTTGAAGTGCTACCTAGGACTAGAAGGAGAAATTTAAATCCAAGTAGTATTTGTCTGTGCAAGAAGTCCATATCAGTAGTATTTTGTAAATTACACAGCTGCTATGTGAGTCTTTTCAGTGTCTTACCAAACATTGCATGGTTGATATCTGATTTTTTTTTTTTTACCCAGATCTTGGAATTACTGGGATGTACGATTTTGATACTCTCTGAGTAGTATCAGAGAGTATTATTATGACCTGTTTATTAGTTAACTGGGAGTGGTTTTGAGGAAAACAAATCAATATAATTAGTTTTGTAAACTTTGTCATGTTTTGTTTAAACTTAAGTCTCTACGCATAAAATAGGTTCTCGTGGAAACTCTGATATCCATATTCAGTGTCCCAGTGTCAAAGCAGAGTAATAAATGGGATGACGGTGGCCGCTGGTACTACTGCTGCGTGACTAGCATGCCCATCCACCCACCAGCAGGAGCCACCAGAAAATAACAAAGCTTTCCTGACCTACTTTCTGTGATTAAATCAGTGTGTCAATTATTCTGGATATTCATAATTTCTCTCCATGTTCTGTTCAGGGTATCAAACGGGGTATAATTGAGATGGCAGATCTAGTTGCTATAAATAAAGCTGATGGTGATTTAATTGTGCCTGCACGGAGAATACAAGCGGAATATGTTAGTGCTATGAAGCTGCTTCGCAAGCGTTCAAAGGTTTGGAGACCAAAGGTGTGTGTACTTCCCTATGGGATTTTTGGTTGTGGTGGTGGTTTTTTGTATGCTTTTTGTTGTTTTCCCAGAAAAAGTGCTGAATGAGTTGGGACTGTTACTGTCTCATCTAGCTGTTCTAGACTCCTTGAGCTCTTTTATAAAAAATTGACCTTGGTTGTTTAGCTTTTTTACACCATGTTAAATACTTGATTGTTTATTGTTTAATGTTCATATAGGTGGCACATGTTTCTTTGCTTTTTCAGCAGTCTGTGTGTTTAGTTCATCACTGTTTAATAGTAACTGATACATCTGAATACCTATTTGTTCAGCCTGACAAACGTGACCCAAAACACCTGTTTTGAGATCAGTGAGGCTGTCAGAAATCTGTCTCTGTTTCAGTGACTGGGACTCTATCCATTTGATTGGGGAGAGAAAGAGAGGTTTGTTTTTTTTTTAGGCAGTCCCATTTTAAAGATGAAGTTGGGTGCCTGAAATACTTTGGCAAAATGAATTCCTACTCTGGAAAGCATATGCAAAAAGAAGTTTCAATATCTCCTTTCTGGAATATTTTAAGTGCAAAAGGGTAGCTATCAGAGTGTGTATACCTGAATTGATAATTAAGTCTATGTTTAAGTAAAATAGCAACACTGTACATTTTAGCTAATTGTCTCATTTAAAATGATTCTCACTAGTTACACAAGCAGTTGGACAAACCCTATTTATGCCAAATGCTGTGGATCCCAAGGTCTGCTTATAGTAGGTAGAATCCCAATTTTGAGTTTTTTTTTTCCTTATTCTTTGTGGAAAAAAGTGTGACTGGCACAAAACTCCTTTGAGCGGAATTGGTTGAGTATATTGAAATAAGCTTGCCTTCCACATTTCCTAATTTTCACTCGATCTACTTGATTCAGTAATTTAACCCTTAAGCCCAGTAATTATTTGGCTTTAAAAATTCTTCTGAATCCAACAGGTAATGCGTATCTCTGCCAAAACTGGAGAAGGTATCTCAGATATGTGGGATAAAATGACAGAATTCCGTGACCTCGTGCTCACGAGTGGTGAGCTGCTTGCCAAACGACGGAAACAGCAGAAAGTGTGGATGTGGAATCTCATCCAAGAAAATATGTTGGAACATTTCCGGAGTCACTTGGCAGTCAAGGATAAGATTCCACTTCTAGAAGAAAAAGTTCTTAGTGGTGTCTTGTCTCCTGGGCTGGCAGCTGACCTGCTGCTGAAAGCATTCAAAGATGGTCTCTAAGCACTGTAGTATACTGTGTTCTTGCTACATTCTTCATGTAAACATAAACATTAAATACTTTTTTTAATGTGTGGATTCAAATGTTTTGCTACAACAGACGTTAATGGAATGCATATCCAATAATCTGGGAAAAAAAAAAAAAGATAAATATTTGGGCAAAAAGTACTGTAGGACCCTGTATATGCAAAGATCATGACAAATGCAAACAGAGATTCAGAGACTGTTACAGATTATATTTGGACAAAAGCACATTTCTGAGTCTCCCATCTGTACACACTATGGATTTACTGGTCACAAACGTGTGCCTGTGTCAAAAGGGCTGGTTTTGAGAAAAGTTTGGTACTGCAGAGTTCCATTGTGGAACCATCTCAGAGCTGGCTGGCAGTGCAGCTTTCCATTCTGGTACAGTATCAGCTGTTGCCTTTTCCTTCTTCACCTTTAGTGACTGCAAGAACAGTGGGCTTCCCTGATAGAACCTGACACAGTCTTATTTTTAAATATATAGTGTACATATAAATAGAGCATAGTGCTTGATAACTGGTTAGGAGTTACTTTACTATGTGCTGGGAGAAGGGAATGTAAACCAACCCAGAATCTAAATAGACGTTTTAATAAAAAAGCAAAATTTAATTAGACTTTTTAAAATACAGACATCAGATGGAACCAGTGCCATCTACAATGTTTTAATTGCAGTTGATTTTGTACTAGAGTAATTGATTTATTCTATTACTTCTTAGTAATAATGATTTGAGGTTCTGATCTGACAAAAGTAACTTTTTCAGCTTCAAACAAAATGGCCAGCAGGTTTTTCCGATCTTGTAGAAAATGTGGCTACTTAGAACCCAAAGTACTTTTCCCCCAACCTTGAGAACAAATCTGGAGGTGTCATTTTCTTAATCCGTGAACTAGAAAACAGGGTTCATTTGGTACCTATGAAATATGAAGAGTAAAACAGAAAAATGACGATTTGTGGAGACTTGACAGAAAAGCAGTAAGAAGGATATTTTATGGATCTATTGTTTACATGAATTAACTTACTTTTTAAGTATTGCTAGTAATAATTTTTATAGTCCTGATTTTCTGTACATGTACTAAGTGGGATGATGTCTTTCATTCCTTATTTAAGCTCAGTTTTACCTATTTGAATTCCAAAGTAGTATGTGTTTCACACAACATTTGAGTTCTGGCAACCTGAGTCTGAATTTTTCTGACAATTCCAGGGTAGCAGTGAATTTGTGTAATTTGATCCTCTTGCTTTTTACTTTCCTTTTTTTTTTTTTTTTCCCCTGGAGACAGTTGTTTTTTTTTTCTCTTCCCTTAGCACCAATTGTTATATTGTGTCCCCAGCTAAGTCTACTTTTTTGTGGTAGGCCTCTGTGCTTCAGAATTTTCATTCCAGTGTAGGTATAATATAGCAGCTATCAGAAAAGATGAATGAGTGTTGAAATTGCTGGGCATTTTTTCCTTTGGTTTGTCAAAGTGGCATAAATTAAATACAGAAAAAGTCTTCATCCTCAGTGCTAGCATTTCAGTTATTTCTCCTATTGTAGGACGGCTTCTGTATTGTTGTCCATAAATAAAATTCTCCGTATTGTTGCTCTGAGAATATGAAGCATGACCAAGAAGTAAAATGTAAACTGCAGTGTAAAGTAAAAATACTTTGTAATTTATAGCAAGGACCTCTTTATATATTTGCAGTACGATACTAACAAAGTGCATTGTGTTGTTTTGCAGGATGTGGAGCTGAGACATTTATTTTTAAAGAAATTTGGCACCAGTGTAGCTGGTATTAGTGGTTTCCACCACACAGACTGTCAACTTCCCCCACCCCCTTATTCCTGTTTCTTAAACTTTACATCCCAAATGAGTAATTTAGGATTGCTGCAATCAGTTACTTGAAAGTACCTGAAGTGTTCAGGGGGTGCCAGAAGCAAAGGGATCTGATTATTGCCTTGCTGTGTTGTGGAAAAAAATGTTTCTTTTATATTTAAAAACAGTTTAGGTCTCTAATAAATATGACAAAGAGTACCCCAAACCTAAAGTGATTTCTTTTATCCTCTCAGATTTAAAAATTAAATGTATTTAGATGGTACCTAGTAGAGGAAAAGACGGATGGAAAATGAATTGATGAGAGCAGCAGCTTTTTAACTGGTAAGTTCTCAACTTTTTGATAGTCCATTTATTTCAGGTGACAATTTTTAAGGTGACCTAATTTGCACTTATCTGCTAGATCAGGTCTTCTCTATTGTCTTCTTTTTCTGTTGTCAGGGACTGCTTTTTTCCTTGTCTGCTATATGGCAGCCATCATGCAAGTAAAATAGAACCTGTGGCTTTGTTTGAATAAAGGCTGTTCTAGCAGAATACCTTTTACCACTTCAGGATTTGTCTACTCAAGCCATGCGGTCATCAGTGTCTCATTTTGTTACTCCTCTTGGAGTAGAGTTAATTTACTAATGAACTCTTACAAGATAGTACAATGGTTTTAAGTAAGTTCTACTTTTCATTCAGCTGCATTTTTCCTCCTAAAGGAGAGCATTGAATGAAAATCAGATTTGCTTTCTTTATGTGTTTGTGTTTCATGCTTCAGTAGACAGAAAAATGCCTTATACCGAAAGGGGTCTTCAGAAATGGCATGATAAATGATGATCCCTGCTTTGTTTTTCAGTGATTCCCCTACCAAATTGAAAAGCTGTACTGTGTGAACTGTGAGCTGAGCTTTGCATGTACGAATCAACTGTTTTGTTTTCTAGCTGGTAGAATATTGCCACAGAATGTTTTGAAGCCAACTGTTCAATTAGTTTTGCAGTTTTGTTTATGTCCTCACTGACATAAACAAAATGGGGAAGTGCATTGTCTTCAGAAGGACTGCATAGCTTGAGCTAGTAGGCTAGAATTTAGTAAACAATTCCGTATTTCCCAGAATGGGAAGTGGCATTTGCAGCTCATCACTTCTAACTCTGGGGGATTAGAAGGGGTAAAATGCACTAAAGCGTTGTATTCAAGTACACAGGGTTCTGAAAAAAAACAGTAAACAAATCTGTTGAGTAGGATGTTGACATATTCTCTAGTTTTTAGAGTTAAATTTCTTTCACATTAACATTTAAAACCACAGCTACTGCAAAGCAGTATAAGAAAATAACTGTATGAGAAAATAATAGCAAGACCGTTTGTAGCTAGAGATGCGATGAACTGTTAGACAAATTGATACGGGAGGTGAGGAACAAACTTTCCAGATGCACAAACTGTTGTGTCCTTGAAGTCTTGAAGCTATATGTAAGTGTGAAACTTTTCCCCAGGTCCCTGTATAATAGATGTTGCTGGTGTTTCACAGCTGGAAAAACAAGTGTGGTGAGATCAAGTGATTTACCCAGGATTCAGAAACAGGTCAGTAGAGTATAAGGGTTACAGTTCAGTAGTCTTTACTCTGAGCCCCATGTATATTTACGGCCATGTTACTTAAGGTTGAAAAAATGCTCTTAGCAAGTTCATGCTCTCAGTGTGACTTACTCCTTTCATATCTAATCTCTCTGTCTTTAGTGACAGGACACAGTGACCCCTTCTTGACTACTGTTCTGCGGTAATGTCCTGCTTTAAGTAGTAGAAAACCTTTCCTTGATAGCTGATCTGCCTTCATGTTTCTGTAAATTCATTGCTTCCTGTCACACATGCTTGCTCGCTCTGTTTTCCTCATGTATGTTGCTTGTTTATGAATCTGCAGTGTGTTACGTGTCTTTCTGTGGGTTTGGAGATTTTGGGGGGAGGGGTGTTGAGCAAAGCTAAAGCATACATGTTAACTTTTTTCTTTTTAATTAACCTTATGCAACTCCCTTCCTAAAGCTTTCTTTCTTAAAGCAACTGTTCTGGTGTAAATATACTTACTTCTTCTTTACTTTTTCTTGCTTGTTGTTCTGTTGTTCCTCCCTTGGATGCACAGTCAAGAAATAACATAATTCATCAGTTAAAATGAAAAATTTTTTTACAGAGCTTAGTGGTTCCAAAACCATTTCTTCCGGATGTTCTAAAGTAGCTATCATGTCAGACATGATCAAATAGGGGTAGATAAAACATGCATGTAAAGCAAAATCAATATGTTCCCCTGGAATGTACAATTCAAACAATCTACAGTGTACAGTTTAACTTGTAACAGGATTCCTCTTGTAAAAAGTAGATCAGATACTCAGTGGTCATACTACTTACAGCTGATTTACAAATAAGCCCTCCCCTACCAATGCCATATTAGAACATTACCAAAATTTGTGGATTGAGAACAATTTTTTTTTTTTCCAAATGAAACAATTCACCAGCAATTACAGTACATTTTTAACGTGGAAGTCTGATAGGCATATTTTATTCCCAGCTGCCATACTTAGGTATGGTTCATTGGATAAACGAGGAAAAGAAGAGCTGACATTCATCCTAATCAACGGAGGAGATGTATAATGGAACTGCAAGAAGGATGTCTACTCTCTCTCTCTCTCTCTCATGAGAACATAAGAATTATCTCAGACATTTCACTAGCAATTCTCACAAATTGATGTGATACGTAGTGTTGCTGTGTGAGGTTTAAAGAAAAGATAAATTCAATTCCCTTTTCTGTCTTTTAGGTTTGTTTGTTGAGGGTGACTAATAATTTAGACAGTTGTACTTTGGAATTAGGTGATTTTGTTTGTAATCATGCTCTACGGGTGGAAAAGTTAATGTATTCATAAGTCCTTGGAGTCTGAGTACATGATTGTTCACCTGTAGCAAAAAGCAAAAGCTTTACTACTCAGAATGCACTTCTTTTTTGGCACTTTCCCTTCATGATGAATTTCCTGTATTTCTCCTGAAAATGCTAGGGCAAATTGACTTACATACCATATATTCGTTACTTTCTGTGTCTGTTATATTTAGATGTCTTTCACTGGTAGAGTATTTAAAAAAAAAAGTTTTAATTCTTTAAGTTATTACTTTTAAAAATTATTCGGATAATCTGTTATTATCTTTATGAATAACATTATTTTTCTTTTGCTTCTTCTACTGAAAGAAACTTAGACCTAAATATTCCGAGTACTGAGCTGAGCTGCGCTGTGGCTGGCAGCAGTGGCTGAGGATATGTAGATTTAACGAGAAGATTGTCTCACTGATTGCGTGGCTCATAGCATTACAGAGGCACACTGCTAAAAGTTTCTTTCAGTCCTGAATCTGTGACACAAAGACTCTGTTTGTAGTTTTCTAATTGCAAGTGGTGGAAGACAAGCCTAATGTTAGTTCTTATGACTTGTTGCTTAGCAGCAGTGATCAACAGAAGTGCAACCTTTTCTTTTCCTGTGACCTTGGTGAACCTTAGCATGGACAGAGCTCACCAGCAGAAGACAAGGATTTCTGAAGTGAAACCACTGTTCAGTGTCTGCATTTGTGGCAAACCATCTCTTCTTGACCCCTTTGTTACCTTTCCCCTTTAGTCTTCTTTGTCTCTCTCTCTCTCTCTCTCTCTCATCAAGTCTTTGAAGAAAATAGGCACCATCCTGGGAAGGTGGGGAGATTGAAAAGTTTAGAGATGAGTCAACTGTGCTAAGATGTATTCTGCCACTTACGGGGAAAAGGAGCTGGGCTGGCCCCCAGACTGTCATGTCAAATGCTCCGTTCATGGCAGGAAAAACAGACTTCACACGTCACACGTTTATTCTTATTTAGAGAAGCTTTCCCAGTATTTTGGAGTAGGTAAAATATTCCAGAGGAAAGGGAAATTAGGGTGCTAAGAATTTTCTGTTCTATATCTCTTAGGTGACATTTCACAAACTGAGCTAGAAAGAATATTGAATGTAGTTGAAAATGATTAGGGATCTACACCAAGTCAAGAAAACTTTCCCTTTTTTTCCCCTCTCATCAAGTTTGGCAGGGTCTGTAGGTTAAGCAGCAAGTTGCACGTTTCACCATACTTCTAAAACACCAATTGCTAGTTTAACTGGACAAAGGATTTTTGGTGACCTTATGAACTGCAACGATTAACATGCCTTATGATGTCAGAAGCTTAGAATGGGAGCTGCTTTACTGTTACCCAGATGCTTGTCTTTTAATTTTAGATCTAAGAGACAGCTAAGTATTTTTATACTTATTCTGCCAAAATGTTATGATCCAGACACATCTGTATGCTTGTAGACAGTAAGTGGACAATAATGCCTGCTCAGGCTGACAGTTTTCATCTGTCCTCCCCATCACCTCTGCTATGGACTTATGCCCTCAACCCACACTTCAGGAGTCGTTGGTAGCTGGTAATAATGCCAGTTAAGCAATATAGGCCAACATATTAAAAGGTCAGCAGGCGTGTCACAAGCCCTTTATGCTCTGGAGTCTGTTCTACTACAAAGTTCGAAGAGAAGCTTTCCTGTTCAGCTACCCACTCATAAAATGAACGAAGAACACCAGTATTGCTCTCATTGCACAATTGAGATCATATACTCATTCTGGAAAAGGCAGCCACAAAACAAACTGGCTTGTCCTGTGTGTCATGTCAAAGGCATGGCAGGTGTATGGCATCTGGCAGAGCTCAAAGAAGTGAAATAAACAGCAAACTGGAATGTGAATTACATTGCAAATATGTCTGTTATACATATCTGGCTTTTTTTTTTTTTTTTAATTTCACAAATCTTAATAAAGAATGAACTACCTGGAAATCTGGACTGCTACCTGAGATCATGAGAAATAACTTTACATGCCCTTGGTTGTTGAACACAGCAAATTGTGTTTGCATTTTTTTTTTTTTATTCCTCCGAGCTGTGATTTGTCTGTCTAGTGAACAACAGCTGCTAGTATTTCATATCTGCAGGATTAAAAACCAATAGCTGAAATCACGTTTTCAACTTCTGATATATGGGATAAGGAATGAACTTGGGCCAAAATCAAGAAGCTTTTAAAAACAGTTTCAGTAAAAGCAAAATAATTTTTGTTAAGTGTTGTAATGCAGATTACCTGACCGGTTCTTTCTGTGCATGGTGGCAATAGAATAAGTAGATTTGACAATTAATGTTTCAAACTTTAGATCATTAAAATACAACCATTCACCTTTCCTTTTAGCTCTCCATTCAAATGTGTCATTTTCTTATAAACAAAATAAATGTCTTTGTTGTGAGACTTCTTAGTGCTGTCACTTCCACATCTGCAGCAACTGGACTGACCATGCCCACTGCACAGCACTAGTACAGCTAAAAGCCACTGTATGCTTTATTTCTGTACCAAGATTAAACAGTTCTTCTGATTTACAATGTTTTGAAGTGGAAAGGCTCTGTTTCATCTCTTGCAGGATGCACATGGCTTTTAGTTTAGCTTCAGCCACTGCTCTCCACACCCATTTCCACTCCACACAATTCCTGGCTGTGCATTTGCTCCTATTGGAAATGGTACCACTTCTCTACATCCTCACATCAGGAAGGGTGGCATCTGAGCATGTGCTTCAGTGTGATTGAACAGGGGTCCTAGAATGCAGGCTGCCTGAGTTGTGTCCTATTAGTGAGTCAGTTTTCCACTTTTGAGGTAGCAAATTCATGGGCAATGAGACAGGAAATTTCAAAGGGGAACTGGAATAATTAAAATAATCTTGTTTGGTCCACTGCCAACTCTTTCATCTTAGAAAATATTGCTCTGGAGACAGGCACAGATCCTGTAAATGAATCTAATCTGGATCTCTCTCATCTAATGTTTTGAACATGTATCCCTTAGTAAGCATCTAAAGTGCAAGGACATTTCTGTGGGACAGTTTGAATGGTTTTGATTTCCTTTTTTTTTTTTCTTTATTGGCTGCTGCTTGAGAGTAAGATTGGAGTAAATGGATCCTCAAGTCAGTGTGGTGTTTCCTCATGTAAATTTCATCATAAAATCACCTAAAAGGAAAGATTTTTACAAACAAGACATACAATTTACAAAGAAAAGTAATATCGCACTGAAAAGGTGAAATGCAGAATTAGTTATTGACAAGCTGGATAGAATAAGGCTTTTCTGGGTTTTTAGTTTTATCAATCTGGAGTTTCTGTAGTAAACACTTTGTTTGCATACCAAGAAATTGCAGTAGAGAGGAACAAATTGCTAGAAATGTCAGGGGTAGATCTTTTTAATTTTATTCCTCAGCCAACTTCGCAGTAACTTCATTTGCTAGGTTCTTCTTGATGAATCAGTGACTGTGATTTACAGAGAAAACAAATTGGCTTAGGAAGCTTTCTAACGGGAGAGCTAAAGGGCACACAATGTGACAGGGAACCTGAAAGCTCTCTGGGAACAGCTGCAGCCTTCTCGCCTCAGCTGCAGTATTTGCAGCGAGCCCTTAGATGGTGCTGTACAGCAGCGCTCAGTCCTGCCGTGCTCCCGCTGCATCCGGGGTGGCAGCTCCTCCGCAGGGTCATGCCACCCGAGGGATGCTTTTGCTCCAAGTCAGGGTCTACCGTGATCACTTGGATCAACTGCCTGACTTCTTGGACAACTTCTCTTGGTATACTGATGGAATTTAAACTTATTTTTTTCCATGAAGTTTTCATCTGAAAGAAAATTAATTCCAAAATGTTGCTTGAATAAATTGAGGAAGCAAAAGTGACTCTCAAGGCCTGGGTGTTCCCAGCAGGGTGTTCCACACAAGTCAGAGCTTTCTGCCCAGTAGAGGAAACACTATTCTTTCTCTCCAAAGTGTTATGCCCAGTAGCTGGCAAGCTAATGTATATTCCTGTCCTTTGTTTTTCTACATATCCATGGATCCATAGCCCAGATCTGAAAATTTTGCCTTAGTTCAAGCCTACAAACATGGATAAGGTATCTCTGGGCACTGTTAATTGAAATCAGTAAATGCAATCTGTCAGTAGAGATATTAAATATTAAATTCTAACATAGATTTCAGTAACTGCTATAATTTAATTCTTATAAAACTTGAACCCTGTCATGCTTAAAAGTGTGTCAGATATATTGCTGTCTGTCTGTAAAATAAAGTGCTTTTGAATAATAGCTAAAGATTTTTTGAGGGCATTAGAGGATCATCATGATGAAAGAATCATGATTCAGCCCGGGAACTTCCTCACGTAAATGTGGATGTGGTACCAGGGCTTTTAGGTTAAATCTTCCATTCTGAGGAACTCACTTCATTCCTAAACAATTGTTGGATCAGGGACACAGAGTTGGGGCTATGAGCTGTGCTGTTAATTGCAAAGATATTGAAATGGAATTTCCTTCAGCGGGATGGATCTCAAGCCACGAGGTTGGTTTTATTTGGAAGCTGTTGGTGAATTTCTGAAAGGAATTTGTTAGACAACTCTCAAATACTCTATCAGTATCTAGCCTTTTCTTTTATAGGGAGGCAAGAGAGAAGTGAGATGTTGAAAATAACTTGATCCCTGCACCTTGGAAAAGAGCTAAGTGAGTGAATTTTTCAAAGTTGGGAGTACAGCCTTCCCATAGTTTTATTGTGTGTTTACGCACGTTCCTGTAATTTGGGAATGGATCGGGTTGCTTCCCACCTTTTACCACAATTTGAGGGGATTAAGCCTAGGAGTAGCCTGCCAAAGCAAATTAAATAATTCATGTTTCCAGCATGACTTCATTTAGTTGTGACTTTTATTTATTTAGAGAGAGTGAGAGAGAAAGAGCTGGTGTTGTTACAATCTCAGTACTATTTTTTTAATCTCTGTAACCTCCTATAACCCAACCATGTATTTTTTTTTTGACCTTTGAAATGTACCACACTGCATAAACTGAGTATCCACTGTGTGTTCTGCTCATCCCAGTAATTTTCATCCTATGGTCTCTGCACGCTGTTATTTTAGGTGTATCTTTTAACATTATGCAAGTTAACAAGTTTGTAAAACATTACCCCAAATGCTGAGGGCACATAGAGGGGGAAGAAGTACCAAATCTTTTTTTCTTATGTGTTGAGAAGCTCTGTAACTGAAAACCCTGACAAGTTAAATGTTAGTAGGTGGGGACTTATAGCCTAAAACTGGTGCCTATAGATGCTCACCTGTGGAAAGGGACTCCTGCAGCTGTGCTCAATGTTCTTCCAGCTGCAGCTGAATTTCTGCCACATTAAGAGCCTTAAGCAGCTGCAGCAGTATCACACTGATCTAGCATTTAGCTTCCCCAAAGCTCTGCTCAAATATTTGAACTCAGTAGAACCCCGTGCTTTGAGTAGGCGAGTGTCACTACAGCTTTACAGAAAAAGAAACAGCGACTGAGAGGTTAAACCAGCTTCCCCTTACCACACAGCAAGTCAATGGTGGAGCTGGAATTACAGCTTGGGAGGTTCCTGGCTCTTGCTGCACTACAATGCTGTGTAGAAAGGTCATTTCCCAAAATAGTACTGAAAGTTCCCATTTGTTATTGATAATAGGGCAACAAAGGGCTCTAGCTGTATTAATAGGTCACTGTATAATGTCCTTAATAATCCATAATTAGCAACCCTGCAAAAATGGCAGCATTGCATTTTTCTGAGGCGGTATCACTTCCACAGTTAGTTTTGTCTACTCTCAGTAGGTATTTTTATTTTGTCTCTTCTAAAACCACTTTATTTAAAGGAAACAGACACATTCACAAAGTAGGCGTTAAATAGCCTCCCTGTTAACTGTCATGTTGGACCTCATATTGGACTCACCTTCAGATCTGTTCAGCTCCTCTTCCTCTGTGAGTACGTGCTTGTCATGGCACTGAAGTTTGACAGTCACTTTGAAGCTATCAAGCAGACTTCTGTCTGCCTAGAAGAAAAATACGGGCTGTTGGAGAAGGCTGTATATTACCTTCCATACCTTCTGTATACTACCTTCTTCTAGGAGGCTGATAATAGAGGGGTTTGGTGGCAACATTTTCCCTGTGTTGTGTGACAGCAAGCTAGCACTGGCATACTTGGGCAGTGTAGCAGCTGAGGTGCAAGCATGGGAGCCCACAAAGGCACCAGGTTGGGTGTTCCCCAAGGCTTCCAGGAAGGAAGGCAAACCCCCATCACCACACAGCAGGACAGGGGACAGGAAGGTGAGTACTTGTGAAGGAATTGTCACAGATTTAATCACAGCCAGAATCAGTTCCTCCAGTGTACCTGGAGCTGGGGTGCCTGGTAGCTATTGCTTGATCTCTTTTTTTTTTTCTTTTTTCTTTTCTTTCTTGTTATAATATTCTATAACTCCTGAACTTAGAAATTGTAGTGGCACTCTAGCTTTTTGGCTTCAGCAGTCTACTACTGAAGGTTTCTGTTTCTTGTTTTTCCTCTAAGTGAATTATTTGAACTTCCAGGTTATTTAGCAATTTAAGAAGGGTCATGGAGTAATAAGTACGAGGCTTGAGTTTGTTTTTTTACTGGGCACCTATATCTGTGCATCTGTAATTGACAGAAGAACAAATGGTGTTTTATGCTAGCCAAGTCTGAAAAATTCCAGTGAATAATGGTGGGAAGAGTGGCATTCACAAAACAAATAGTTATTGAATCAATTTATCCAGCCCTGTTTTGGTTTGAGTTAGGGTGAAGTGTTTCCAAACAGGCAAACCCCAAGAGAAAAACAAAACAAAACAACACACCTCCCCCCCAACAAAAACAAAAACAAAGGAAAAAAAAAAAAACATAGATTGATGATTAGGAAAACAAAATGTGTAGGGAAAGTTAAGAAACCAGAACATGTATAGCATAGGGAAGTGGCAAGGTTGCTGTTCTCTCATCTTTATATCTGCAGATCTACGTATTTGAATTAACAAAGCAATACGAGCTTTATATGCTGGATTTGCTTTTTAATGCATGTTGGTTGAAGTAATTGGATCTATTGTTGTGGGCAGGGAATGCCAGCTTGGCTCTTACAGTCACTGACTTGTGAACATGACCTACAGGAGGTCAAAACACTGGAGAGCCTGCTCTGTTTAATTCTCAGAGGTAACAGTCATAATAGTTACTGCTTTGAAAAAACGATCTAAGTGATCCCTGCCTCTATCTAGTTTACTGTTTGTATTGTATTGTTTATAATTTATTTTTTTTTTCATCTCTATAAGTGGATTCAGAATTTTTTAGTTTTTTTCTTTCTTTCTTTTTTTGAAAGCACAACTGAATTTTCACAATGGAAGTTTGTTAAATAAATAATCATAGATTGAACTGTAAATGCTAGTGGTTTTGAGTGATATTTTGGTACTTGCTCAGCCATCCTGCTTTCATTCCTCCTGCTGATCAAGCCAGCCAGACATAGCCAAACAGTCCTGCATAGGAAAAACAGTGTACTTTCAGCTTGAGGAAAGAAAAAAAAAATAATCTCTCGTGATTGATGCCAAATGATTCCTGGTGAATGCTGATGGCTACATAATTTCAGCATTGAGTACATCTGCCTTCCCTACTAGGAACTCCAGAGACACCTGAGAAAAAACATCCTAAAAAAGAGACAAATGCTCTCTTTAGTGAGTCTCTCAGTTCATGCTCCTGATCTCACTGTTTGGGCAGTGTAAGCTCCAGTCCCTGTGGCAGAAAGGGAGGCTTCAAGGTCTGTGTGGTTTGTATTTTCTGGCATCAGCTGGCTTAGTGGTTCTTCATGGAATGAATCCTTTCAGAGAACTAGGGGAGTTGCTGTCAATCCTCAACTTTCCTCCTAGAAGTCTGTCATAACATAGTATTTTAACACTAGCCGTGCAGTGAAACTGCAAAAGATTTTGTAATCCATTACCAGATCTGGTGGAGTTAGAGAAAAGCAGGCTTGGCATCGGTGACTAGATCTCCTGTAATGTATACATTCCTGGATAGTTCAGGGGAAACCGAACTTCCTCGGAATTTCTTTCTCTTCCCCCTAAAATCCACCAAGATATAGGTACCACGTTATCTGTATTGAAGATTCAATTTGAGCTGATTTGGAAATTAATTTTTCCTTCTGGTGAATAGCTTTCTTCCACCACACTGCTCCTTTAAAGTACTTATGTAAATGACTATAACCTGTGCCTGCTATCAGGCTGGTTGGGATCTGTGGGCAGGTTTACATGTGCTCTGTCATGCTAGTAATGTTTTTCCAGAACTAGGAGAATTCAGACCTCCTTAAATCTGGACTTGGACTTGCAACAGATTTGAGTATTTTTACCTCTTGCTAGACAGTCTTATTTTTAATTTGCTCTATGGCTTGGTCAGGGCAAGCAGCCTGCTGTATATCTGCCTGCACTTGTTTGGAATTGATGCAGTGCGCTGTGTTGTACTCAGATTTACAGCCAAGGTAAAAGGAACAACCACTTGTTACTGTCTTCTCCTGCCCCCCCCCCCCCCCCCCAACACATCAACTGCTTAGTGCTCCCTCAGAAGCACATTGGACTGCTCAGAACCAGGGGAAGTGTGCTAAAGGAAACAGTGAACAGGGCCCTAAATCAATTGCCTCAGGTCTCGTCTTCTCCCGGGTTCTACATTTCTGTCTTGCTTTCGACCAGGGCTCGTTCAGTGTTTGTGATGGGGAAGAGCCACTGAGAATATAAAAGGCTTTGCAGCTGGAGGAGAGGAGATGCAGGGCAGGCAAGATCAAGACTCCCAGCTGTTGTGTAAATAACTTTAAGGGCATAACTTTTTCAAAAGACCTGTCCCTGGTTAAATAGTTCAAATCATTGCTATTAGCCAGGAAACCTCGGTTCTTTAGCCCTAATAGATCCAAGTTAATTTGGATCCTCCTCTCCATCCCCTTTTCCCTTCTTCATATCTTCTGTTTACATGCTGTGACCTTACACAAACTATTCACCCCACTCTTTTTCTGTGTGATCATATTTTATAACTCTCATGACGGTGTATTTCTGCAATCTTTCAGCAGTGAACTGTACCCTGTATTTTGTTCCCTTTTTCCTTACTTCTGGCTTAGATGGAAAGCTGCTTTGAGCCAGTGTGGAATTCATGCTACTTTTAATTACAAAGAGTAAATTCCCACTTTTGCAAAGCTCCTCTCCTTCATTTCCTTTCTGATGGTATCTCTGCATCACTGTCTGCTGACGGACCTCTCTCTCGCTGGCAAAGGCAGGTTGTGATTCTGGCAGTACGAGGCACCTGACAGATGCAGCCCTCTTTTCTGCTGCTAGGTGTGATAAGGGAAAATGCATTTCTGAGTTGGAGTTAGGAAAGAAAAGAATCCACACTAGTCCCTGCCCAAATTCTGACTGTTTCTCTTCAAAAGACAGAACTATCATGCGATAAAGTCACTTGTGTTAGGGTATGAAGTCCTTATTTATAGATGTATATAAATAAAAATCAGGCTTCCTCTAAAAACTGTCATCCTGCATCTCCCAAAAGCTGAAGAATCTGGAGTTAATGAGTGAGGCTGAGTCTCGAGAAAGAGCACCTTTCACTCAGAAAGACTTGTTTTAATTTGGCTGCTGACATGGGTTGCCTGCAGTTTCATCCTACAAAAAAAAAAAAAAAAGTTGTTAAAGTGTTTAAAAAAGAAAAGTTACTGCACTGCAGTATTTGATATGATGTTTGCATTATTTCATATTTTGCCTAAAATAAATCCAGTATAGTTGAGGGGGCATAAGATGCAGTTGGCAGCTCAGACAAAATAAGATGTGCTACCAGGGATGAGGATGGATCAGTCCTTACATAAGATCTTCATTGTCTGACATGAATTGTGTAAGGAAGATCATTGGAAGCAGGTGCCCTGAGCAGCTGGTGTGGCTGTCTGCTCTTCACCTTTCTAGGATGTAGGTTGGAACTATGCCATACTGTTCTGTCTTAAAAGGAGAAAAAGAATTGTGCTTTGGACTGGAAGTACCTGGAGGCTGGCGTCCCTGTCTTAGAAATTGAGAAAAGCCAGTCCTTTTGCTTCAGTCAGCCTGTGAACCATGATGGATGCAGCCTCCATTTCCTAGTTAGGTGGGCATCAGTCTCTTTTCTGACACCTCTCATGACCAAAGTAACCTACTTTGCAGGGTTGCAGGTAGGAAAGGGTTGGTTGCAGGTCTGAGTGTTGACTCCTCCACTTAGTGACCTGAAGCCTGGGTGGGGTCTCACACACGCTTGATTTTCCATTAGTAGGAGAAACTCTGCTTATTCACAAGAACAAGACCATGAGAAACACCAGTGGGGGCAAATGGATGGGGTTTCCTGTCTGGTGTGTGGACAGGCTGCTGTCCCCTCTTGGGCTGTCTGCCTGGTGTCCCAGATTGCCTGCTGGAGGTGAAAAAGGTGACATTTTCTTCCTTGCAACTTCAGAGCACGTAGCAGCTGTCTCTGGCCTGTGCCCACAGGTGGGAGGCTTCTCTGTGTCCTCATGCCTTCCTGGGAGAGCTTCCAAAGACCTTGGAAAAGGCAGGAGGAGACCTTTGCTTGAGGGTAACTTTCTTTGTTGGCCGTCCTCTTTACTGCCTTGGAGGGAAGGACAAACGAGGTTACCATCAGCTTCCTGTTGAAGGCTTCCTTGGGATGGTGTAAGCCTTCAGCTTTCACTTCAGTAACAATATTATGTGCACTACTGGGCATTGCACTTGCTCTTTCCTTTTCTGTTAACAGAAGAGACGTCTTCAGTAAGTCCACTTCCACGACTGGGCCTGTGAAGAGAAGATTGGAAGGATTTAGCAGTCTCTCTGTAGAAGCAGGATAATTGATTTGAACTTGTTATGACACTGCAACTTGTGATGACTCTTGGGCTGCCCTCTGCAAGAACAGAGCAGGAGGAGGCAAGGTATGTGCGCTTCTGTGAGCACTGTTGTGGTAGCAGTTCTCTGGGTTTCAGTGTTTGCACAGTAAATTCAATGTCAACATGTACAGACAGCAGATCTCAGAGGAGTTAGAGGTAAATAGCCTTTCTTTTTGAGGTTTCTAGAGCAAGATGCAGAGCTAAGGGATTTCTTTCAGTTTTTGCCCTGTCATGAATTGGCAGGTGACTTGGGAGGAGGTAGTCCCTGGTCATTTGGCAGTGCCAAGAGTGAGCTTTGAACCGTGCAAGCTTTTGGCAGCTCGGGAACATTTGCACTGGCGACTTCAGAGTCCCGTCCTCTTTGTGGCTGCCAGCAACATTTTTTGGTTCTGCTTTATTTTTATTTGGTTATTAAAAGCAAAAGTTAGGTGGCTCAATCCCTCTGTTAGTCTGTCCTGGGAAGCTTAAAAAAAATAGTCCCCCAGGAAAAATGAACTCTGAACTATACAAAAACATACCACACCCATGTTGTTTTGCTTCCCTATATGCGGAGCGTTCCTGACATCCCAAAATAAGAGCACGGTTCTTGAGAAGCTGTTGGTTAGGTGACAAAAAGTGAATGCCAGGACTCACATGACTCGTGCTGTCGGCAGCAAATGTAGAAGTTGAGGACCTGCCTGTTACAGTGACGAAATAAAAAATTCTGGTGGAAAAGGTCCATTTTTAAGGAAAGCTCAGGAAACCCTCTCTGTGTAAAGGATTTTGGGAGCTGGATCCAAAGGCAGTCAGGCAGCCCATGGCTGGTAGTGCTCCTCAGGAACTGCACATTCTGTTCCAGAGGAAATTCCTGTGTCTTTAGAAACTTGTCCGACAGCAAAACATTCCACTGGGAGAAACCTCTGAGTAATCCCAATGTATGGATCTTTTTCTTTCTTTCTTCTGAAGTGTGAGTCAGCAGCATCACCCTGAGAGCAGAATACTGGCAGGAACTGAGGAGTGAATGGGCCAGTCGAGGAGGGTAAACACTTCTGCCACCTATGAAAGGAAACTGTGAGCAAAGGGACCTTGTCGTGCAAGTGCTGAGGTCCAGAGGAGGGTAACAGCGATGCTCATGAGTGAAAAATGGTTTATTCATGGTGAGAGTGAGCAGAACAGGGCTGTCCGCGTTGGGCATGTAAGGTTGGCTGCTATGAAATAGTTTGGGGAAGGCTCATCAGGAACTATTTTTGTAATCCGAGCACTGAGGGGGCAATTAAGTATATTACTGGGTTGCAGGCTTGTAGCAAAGTACTTTTTCCCACATAGTGGGTTTTCATGTAAATTGTGGAACTCGTGCTGGAGATGCAAGTTTATAGACCAGATTCAGTGAGAGGCCAGTTCTGCCTTCCTTTCATACGTACATACTTTTGCCTTGCACACTCATGTTAGGAAGACCTTGGGTATAAATTACTCTCGCAGCACCAAAAGAACCTTAGTTAGCTAAACAGAGCTTGGAAGAAAATACCACCAGATCCCTTTTTTTCCTGTTAAGTTCCCAGTTACACAAGCTGAGCTGGGCCAACACCTGCACCAGTCTTCCATCTGGGACCGACTCCTGGGCTCAGTCATAAAGCAAAGCTGCTGCAACCGTGCTAACAAAGGTGCTCTGAACAGCAGGTGCACACCTGTAGAAGTGTGTGGTAACCTTTGGTAGGGTACATAGCATTGCTTTCCAGTTAAAATTGGATCAGAATTAAATTGTATTATGAAATTAATTAGCTTTAATAGACTAGTCACAGGAAAATAACCGTGTGTTTAACACAGAACGAGGTATTCCAATGTGTCTGAATTTGGGTAAGTGATTACGTGCACCCTTAATTATATTTTCCTGGTTTGAATGGCTGGAGGACTGTTCTTCATGGCTCTGTCTGTCTTAGAGGAATCTGTCACTTTGAATAAGAATGAAACTTGACTGGTAAAAATGCAATCTTGCCATAGTATTACCGCATAACTGGATCTTATTTATTTTTAATTGACATGTCAACTTAAAAGATGCAATGCATATTTTTAAATTGCATTAACATTACATTCAGATCTTTTCATTGAGTTCTAGGTGTGCAGTCCCATTAAAAAAAGGTAGCTAGATATAAAAACATGAAGTCTTAATGCTTGCTTACTAAATATTCAGAGTGCAAACAGACATCGCTGATAATACATGCGAATGGAGCTATCCTGGTGTATTTTAGAAGTGTCACAGGCATGAGTGATAGACACCACTGTATGCATATTATTTCAAATCACACTGATGGAGTGTGCACTCCTAAAACTATTTATTTTTATTTATATTCCCATGCCATTTTATTTTTCCTCAATTTCAGGAAAAAAAAAAGATATTGTGATTTTATTGCTAAAACAACTGCTGCGTCTAACTGTAACGGAATGCAATTGTATGCTGTGTACAAGGAAGTCTAGATGTTAGGAAAATGTTAATCCCTACAACACTGGAAATGCAAAACATGGATAATTTAGCATAATTTATTTTGCTGGTTCTAGCAAGAAATTCTGTCTGAATTTCCCCCCACAATTTTAGAGTTGTTGTTCCTACAGGGAAGCCGAGTGACTTTGTGCTCTCTCCTCAAGCAGCAGTTGCTCTCAGTGCCCAGACAAACTCTGTGTGCATGAGGCTACGCAGCGTGAGATGTGCAATGGGGCAGGGCGTGCCTGAAGCTGGCTCCAGCCCTGGGGTCTGCCTTGGTGGCAAATTGGTGGGCATTGCGCTGGTAGTGCTGCTGTCATGGGTAAAGCAGCAGGCTTTTTGTGATCACGGTGAGACCAGGCTAGTGTGGTTATTTGCAGCAACATGCTTGAGGAGGCAGTGAGAGCAAGCCAGGGAAAGCATGCTCACATTCATTCATACAGTCATATGCAAATAGGTTCTAAAGTCCTACTCAACTATGCATGAGCACGCTGGTTATATCTCTGACCCTCCCACCTGGCTTCCTGTTAAATCTGTTAAAAAGGAAAATCTCCAGTCTAGTGTGTGAGTGAAAATTCCAGTCCTAAATAACAGAGACAGAAAGAATCAAGAAAACATTTGCTATGTTTTCTGTTTGTTTTCTTTGTTTTTTAACCAGCCAGAAAGTGAGGCCTATTTTTGGTTTTGGTCACATTAGGCTGTGCTGAATGTTGGCATGAAGTTCTAGGAGCTCAGTGATAGCATTTTTCTATTCTTTATTTAAACAGGCACCTTCCCAGAAGAGCAACAGCACAAAGTTTGCAGTTCCAATGAAATGATGTCTGAGAAGTGCTGGTAAAGAAGGTATGCAATAGAAATTAGAGGCTTGAAAAGTAATGTAGAGAAGAAATATATGCAAACAGAGAATACTACAAGAAATCAAATAGTCTTCTTTATGCTAAATTGGAAAGCTTTTTTTTTTTCTTTTTTTGTATTTTTTCCCCCCAGAGTTTTGCAATGTGTTTTATTTTAATCACAGTTGAGGGGGAGGGAAATGGAACAGTCAGTTTTATTTTTTTTAAGCTAGTATGAAAAACTTCCCTCATACAGCCTTAAAGTAGGGAAATAGGTTGCAGAACCTTCATGTAGCTGCACAAGAAATGCCAGATTATCACTTTTTACTCTCCCATATGCCTCTGTCTACAACTGCATTTTACTGTTGTTGCTGGTGTGTTTCTTTTTTGTTTGTTTTTTGTTTTTTAACTTAATGGAAAATTTCCTGTTGATGCCCCTTGCAACTGTTCTATGCCTGCTCTGAATCATGTTTCTCTTCTCTCGCTCTTCTCTCTCTTGTCTTCCTCTTTTCTTTCTTTCTCCTCTCTTCTCCCTCTCTCTCGTCTCTCTTCTCTTTCCCTTGTCTCTCGTCTCTGTCTTTTCTCTCCTCTCTCTCTTTTTTCTCTTCTCTTTCTTCTCTCTCTTCTCCCTCTCTTTCTCTTCTCTCCCTCTATCTTCTCTCCTCAGTAGGTACTTAAGAGGGTCATACATGTAAGTATATCCACAGCCAGGTTCTTCAAAAGGCAGCTGTTGTGCACATGTGGCAGCACAACAGCTGCATTTCTGATGTGGTGCCTGGTATCCAGCAACTGGCTGGCTTCCTGGTGTACATAGCATTATTTTCCCAAGAGGCACACAACAAACCCACAAGCCAAGTAGAATTCTGCACTATTTCACATGTAACCTGTTAACTCAGCCTAGATTTGCCAAAACACGTGTGACTTCCAGCACCAGGCCAGTCAGGGCTCTTTAGAAGTGCTGTCCACCAGCTGACATGTCCTCCTCCCATTGAAGTGGGCAGCGGGCTGTCCCCCGCAACCTTCCCTCAGGTTCCTTAGGCCCAGGTGGTGACTGAAGACAGGATTTTAAAAAGTGACTAATAAATCAAATTGCTTGCGCAAGCTGAGGCACCTTGAAGATGCTTATCTTGCTGGGGGTATGACCTCAAGGCACTAAATCCACGCCCATCCCTTTTCCAGGGGCTTCTGCTGGACACTCAGGCCCTGGCTCCCCACGTCCAGAATTAGCTGTTTCAAAACAGCTACCTTAGTTTCGAAAACTTCATTGCAAAAGACCTTCCCCTCGCAGGCTACTCGAGTGCCTCTGTGCTGAGAAGATGGCGTTCCACTTACGGCCATTCCACAGACAAAGCCATGCTGGGCAGACCTCCGGTTCGAGTGATTGCGCTGGCGCTTTATTAGCTCTCTGAAAATATATAGCAGAGAAGAGGCTGTGCGGGCTCTGCACAGTCTGCCTGAGCTCTGACCCCGCGGGCAAGAGGCTAGATTGCTTTTACAGCCAGTACTTAACCTTTCTGACGAGACTTGTCAACAAGGAAACCAATTAGCAGCAGATATGATGGCAGATGATATAATGCAGATGCCTGTTTGTTAGGAGCACAACTGGTATGTTTTTAACACAACACGTATTTTAAAACATGGCTCTGAATTAATGAAGCCATCCCCCACAAAAATCACTCTACGGTTGAGTTTCTGTCTTTGAGGGTTTTTTCAAAGTCTCTGCCTTAAGCCCTGTTCTGGTGGACTTATGGCAGGTGCAAGATCATAAGAAATAACAAAACTTTTGAATAATCAAAATTTTTCCACTTTTAAATATTTTTAAATTACTATAGATGGCATATTCAAAATATATGGAGCTGCAGAATGTGAAGAGGGCAGTTCTTGCCATCTGGAGTGGGTCTAGACACAAACTGAGATGTTTTCTATGACCACACAAAAGTATATTGGTGCATATATATCAGAAAAAAACAGTTCAGGGAAACCTGAGTTAATTGATTAACACTGTGCAGATCTACAAGCATGTTATAGCCACCTGCTGGAAAGGACAGTGGCTCCTTACTGCATAAATATGTGCTACCAATACCTCTCTTTGGGTACAGATAAGGTTCCTCTCACAAATACAGAAACATGGTTTGGAGGAGGTGGGGTGGGGGGAGCTAGGGGTGGAGCTTAACAGGACAGCTGATATTTTGGTTGAGATTTGGCCTGATCATTTAAACAAAAGCTAACAGTAAAACACAATGTCGGGAGCAACTAAAGGACTTGCTAGCTGACTTACTTAATTGATAGCTGACTGTGTGTCCAGGCAGGACAGTTCAATCCTCTGCTCTGGCCATTCCTAGAGAAATTGTTTTCTTCGGAAGAGAAAGTGGGCAGTACCACAGCACTGCATGCTACATGTCAGGCCACAGGGACGCAAACACTTTGAGAACCAGCTGCGTCCCCTCTCCTCCGCCAGCCCAGATGCTCTTTGACTCACTCTGTACACATTCTCTGCTTGTTTGGACCGCACCTTTCAACCAACCTCTGAAACCTTTTTCTCAACTAACCTAACAGTTACTGTCATTTACAACAGACCTGTAACAATTTACAGTTACTGTTTTAAAACCATCAAGATACAATCTGCATTTGGTGGATCAATCTCTTGAGATATCTTTCAAAATCAAGCCCAAGAACTCGCATGATCAGCTTTTAATTGCTAGGATAACTATAGTTTTAAAAAAAAAACAAAAAACAACCAAACCAAACCAACAACAATAAACCAACAGAATTTTGTTTTACAGCGCAAGAGGAAAGAGCGTCTCTGTGTGAACACAGTCAACTTACCATTCTAATGTCAGCGCTGTAGAAGCCTTCCCTTCACATAAGCAGTCACCAGCAAAACGAGGACCAGTGGATTCAGCACACGAGCAGTAACAGCACTGCATTCACTACCAGGTACTGATAGAAGGCCTGGAAATTAACATCCCTCTCCCAGTAGAAAAATAATTGTTTTTCAGTTGATTAGACCTTAACGCTGTCCCAGCTGAGGACAAAAGACAATCTGAATTTATTGAATGTTAACATTAATTTTTATTAATGGATAATTTTTATCTAATGCATACCCAGATTTTTTTCCCTTGGTTAGCGTTTATAAACTCTTTTTCTTAAGATGTTAAGTATCTTTTTGTGTTCAATGTGGCCAATAACACCTTTGCTTATCCACAGCTTTCCTGTCTGATTTAAATTGTTGCTAACATCTTACCTCTTTTCAGTGTATCAACTTGTCTTGTTGGAGAATACTCCTCCATGCCTCCCCCTGTAAATTAACCCTAAGACCTACTTAAGGTGGTCTATAATAAGCCAGGAAGGAAAAGAAAAAAGAAACTAAGGGTATAGCCAACCTTTTTAATTAGAGTATATTGTACTTCCAAACTGGATACACTAGAAATTGGCAATGCAACATAAGATGCAAAGGAATATACCAGTTACTGTCAAAATGACCCTGTACAGCCTTATAATGCAAAAAGCTTTATACAATACAAATTTTTATTAATGTACACAAACCTTGACAGAAGGATATCTGAACATAATACAACAAGTTAAAAAAAAAAAGACAGAAGAAAGAAAAAAGTACTGAGAACTTTAACTGAATTACTGAATGGAAAAACACACTACCTTTCATTAAAGAATGCATAGGGATAAACCAGTATGAAATTAGCTTCATGGTGGGGGGGAATTTATCAGAACTGTTGGTCTTTATAGTAGGAAGGGGTATCTCTGGAGAACATTCCTTTCTTTAGTCTTGAAACTGCAAACCAATTATTTTAATATGCAAGAGCTCTGATAAATACCGTTTTTCTTTTTTCTTAAAAAAATAAAAACCTCCTAACACACTTTTCCTTACAGAGAAAACTTCTATAACTTACCAGAAAGAATGAATTTATCCTTTCCAAAGTGCTAAACAAATTTCCCAGGTACATTAAACATTACTATGTCAGATACTGCTACAGTGGACCATCGTTGAACACATGGCGTTTGTATGCTGACAGCTCCTTCTTGGAAGTTCCAGCCCTAATTACATTGCAGCTTGAGTTACAGAAAGTAGCCTAGCAATATTTGTACTTCCTCCTCCTAGACAGCTGTACTTTACCTGTTGGTTTGAAAAATAAGCTTTTTGAGTTGAAAGTGTTTCCTCTGCTATGGTGGGGTCAGAGATAGATGCGCTGAGCGTATTGTATAGAACTGGTATAGTTTCCAGATGCAGATTGCATATTTCATGCTGTTGAGATACTCTTTTTTTTTTTTTTGCCTTTTTTTTTTTTTGCTTTGTGTATTTACTAATAGAGCACTTTCTATTTTGTCTGTACTCCCAGTGGGGTTACCAGGAGTTCTGATGGAGTAAAGCATGGCAAACAGGGCCCTGAGTTACTTGCATTGTTTTCTAAGGTTTATACATGCTTTGGAACAGATGGCTTTTCTTTACTGCGTAGACAGACAGAACTGCCACATGCTCATTGGAACCAAAACTGTCTGCTGGAATGTAAACAAAATGGTGGGACTTCTCTGCCCTTCAATTAATAATTCCAAACAATAACTGGCTACTCTTTTGGATGTCTCCCCTTGTAGATAGCTTCCAGGATGTTAAACAGGAGTGCACAGATCAGGATGTACTCCCCGTACAGGGAGAGTTTGGTCATGACAGTGGAGGATGTTTGGCCATCCCAGTGCAAAACAAATGTAGGAATCTTGCTCACAGATTAAATGATGCAAATTTTGCATCAAAAAGTATTTCTACACATGCTTCACTTAAGAAGTAATGAAGATTGAGATTATGTTTCTACTTGCGTGTATGGCTCAGAGCCTTTGTGGGCCACAAAAATTCCTTCCTGAACTGGGGCACTACATTAGTGCTGTCACAAACAAGGGACTGGCTCCAACTGGTCTGTCAGGATCTCTCCATCCCACAACAACCTGTAGAAGAAGCTGCCTCAGGACAGCATGAGGGTGGATGGGTAGCACATCAGATGCGCCTCAGCACATCTCTTACAGTGGCTTGGCCAAGGGAGGGAGAGGGGGGACTGAAAAAAACTAAGTCAGACATCTCCAATACCTGGTGAAAGACAGCAAGATCCAATTCCGAGAGACACCATGGAAAATGATAATCCAGTAAGAAAGCATTCCTGTAAGTCATGTGATAATTCTGAAATGCTTCATATTTTATACTTCCAATTTTAATGCAGAATATTTTTAATTCTGATCTTTCTTCCTGGATATTAAGTTGTCTATGAAACAAATCAATTAACAGTCAGCTTTTCTTCTTTAAGAACGCTGTTGTCATTTTGAGATTAACAAAGGTTATACAACCAATCCACATTTGCTTCTTCCTGCAATAAAGTGCTACATATAACATGTCATTTTAATGACCACAAAGTAAGAGCATTAAATAAGTATAAAGTTAGCTTCCTAGCAGTGTACACTCTATCAGCCATTAACAAAAAAGAATAAAGTATTACTAATAACATAGAGGGTATTGATAGGACCATAGAATCTGCAAGTACAATTGAAATAGTGAGGGTATAAAAGAGAACTGTATGGTTCAAACAGTATCTTTTTTATAGCTTTATATTTCAAAGAAGTTACTGGTACCTTTTCAAATATACAGTCATATTACCTTCATCCCACAGAATTTTTTCCTTTTTTTTTTTTTGCAAGTGAGAAACAAACTAGTGCAAGACTAAAGCACTGTGCAAATCTGCCTTTTTTTTTTTAGTCTGAGTATTTATACCCAGAATTTATCCATACCCTTTGTAAAAATCCCCTTTGTTGGATTTTTTTTTCCACCATAGATTTCTAGTTATACAAGTTGTTCCTGCAAACTAAAAGGTAACCACTGCATAATACAGCATATATATATCTATACATAATATTTATATGCCCTTTTAAAACAAAAGATGTATGCTATGGCCCAGGCTCAGGTGTTTGTTATACCTGCGTAACAGCTGAGAAGAATTGGGCCTGCTGTGTGGGTGTGTAGACTGCATACACTGCATGTGCGTGTATACACACACGCTTTCATCGTCATACTCTCACCCTGCCGTGCTGAAAGCCATTTCTTCCTTATCAGCTCTACCCAAAATCCTCAGACCTTGACAACTCAATACAAGGCAGCAAACAACTAAAGGAAGCTGCAAGCAGCACTGAAATCATACACCAGGCCACCCTGAACCAAGAGTTACTCCTGCCACAACTCTACAGTTCAGGGAGGCACAGAGTGCAGGGAAGGAGCAAGTGTGTTCAAAGGGGAAAAATAATAATTAAATAAGCCTAGACAAGGGATGTGCAAAAGCAGTGTCATGGCACGCTACAGACAGACTCTCTTTCACACACCCACACACACACGAAGACCAAAAATAAAATGCATCAATATGTAATCTTACAAGTGCTGATTGCCATTAAGGACACTCTTTTTCAGCTTAACAAGACAAAATAGTTTCTTAGATAAGAGTACTGGGAACATGCCTCTGAAGGTAGAAGTATGCAGTAGGTCACCTCTTGAAGATTTAATAAAGCAGCTTTCATGTCAATGCAATAAGTATACACAAAGCCATTTTCTAAACCTTACTAATGGTATAGTACAAGTGTTCGTTACCTCTTCGGTCTACGGTTTGCAGCAATGTATGTATACCTGCTGGGTTTGTCGGGGTATTTTTGGTACAGAATGGAACTGCCCTCAGACAGTTTCTGCCCTTTCTGTTAGTCCAAGATAGGCAAGGAAGGAGTGTTTAGGTGAAGAGGCACCTCCCGGTGCAGTCTGAGGTCTGGGTGGATGGAATGTGAGATCGTAGTGGTTTTTGGGGAAAAACATTGTTAAAGGAATAAGGTGGGCAAACTCTGAGTTCCAGTATTTATCAAAGCACAGGGAAGTGCCGTTGATGGCCAAGGCTTTCACCGCCAGGTTTGGCTCTGCCCCACTGCTGTGTGCAGCCGACATCGCCACTGTCTGCAGAGCCTGGGAGGCAGACATAACTGAGAGGGGTGACAGAAGGTTTCTGGAGCTGTTCACTGGTAGGAGTGGACTGGCTTCCTTGGAGGCTGAATACTGGCCCTTCTTCTCCTCTTCGGAGCAGTCCCCGTTCTGGTGCTTCTTCACATGGCGGCTGAAGACAAAAGGGTGGGTAGTCTTGAACAGGCACTCATCGCAGCTGAAAGTCTGGCGTGGAGCATGCTTCAGTTTCTTGTGCAAGTTGAGATTGTCTTTGCGTTTGCAGCTGTAGCTGCACTGGTCACAGTGAAAAGGGCGCTCGCCAGTGTGGACACGCACGTGTTCGATCAGCTTGTTGGCCGTCTTGGACAGGTAGCCACACTGGTCGCACTTGTAATGGTTGCCAAGCCGGTGCTCTCGGATGTGCATCTCCAGCTCCAGCTGATTTGCTTTCACTGTCTGGCAGATCCGACACTTGTACTCCATCTTGTAGTGAGTCTTCAGGTGGCACTCCATCGCTGCGGGGCGGTTAGTGGAGTAGATGCAGAACGGGCACCTGGCAACACAGCAGGGAAGGGCAGGGAGAAAAAAGAGGAGTCACTCAGCTGGAAGACCTGCATTCCTGGGTTAACCCCGACATTCAGCCCCTCTCTGACCTACTAAAGCAGAAAAAAAGGCACTTAGCCCTCCCTGTACAGTCTCTTTAGAATATTTGGTTGACCTTGACATGCCTCTACTTAGAGTAGCTTTGCCCATTAACGGCAGCAGAGCTCGCTTGTTCCTTGGGAAGCACCGATTCACTCTGAAGGAGCATCCCTTAATCGTGCCGGCTTACCTCCACGGGGCGGCTTCTGCAAAGCAGGCCAGGTTGTGCAGAGTGGCTGACAGGCTCACAGGTGCTTTGTGTAATGACATTCTTAGTGTTTGCACAAAGTCACTTTTGCCATTTTGTCCATTCAGAACTGGTTTAAAAGGAATGCTTACAGACGAATATGAAAGCAGCTGTTTAAGTAAAGATGGAATAAACTTGTAATACCACATGTACAGCAAAAGCCTAGAAAATTCCTTTTATGTGACCTTGAACAATAAGCTTGCTGGGTATCCAGCTAGAAACAGCTGAAAGTTGGTCTGCTGGATGATTTGTAGGGATTCCCATTGCTGGGAGATGAGCTAGCCCACGCTCAGAGGGTGTGTGTGCTTGGCAGGGCTTGCCTACAGCTGCCTCTGCCACAGCAGGAATTGTTCCTGTGGGGGAACAGGATGTGGGCTCTGCTTACTCACAGCAGAAAGCGTCCGGACCGGGGTGGACATGGCAAAGGGCCTCACCCCTGGTTCCTGGACCAGGAAGGGCTGAGAAGGCTGGAGCCTTGAAAGCTTGGAAGTGAGCCTGAGCTGAACAAGCCCGGACACCAGCGAAACCAAAGCACACCAGCTCCTGCTTGATGTTGTTAAGAGGAAGTTGGTGAAGACAGCTACCTGCCAGGAATCTCTGCTGCATTAAACAAAGCGTACTGCCTTCCAGGTCTAGCTCATGAGCTAAAGGAGCAAGCCTAGATAAAAAGATAGAGCTCGTGCACCTGGCTGCTGTCTTACAGATGCCTCCATCTCCCGCTGGTATGCATTCACCATTTAGCAGGTCTGCCATTTGTGCTCTGTCGTTTAAGATTACTTCTAAGCAGAGATCCTCTTGCTCCATGTTTGTTTTCACTTGCTACAACTGGTTGCACATACAGATTTAATTTTATCCAGCTAATAATCGAGAGACTCCTGAGCACAGTGAACAATACAGGAGGACAAACAGATAGTAAAACATCCAGACACTTTTCCTGATGCAACATCAAGTACTCTGATCCAGAGAGGGAGCCTGGCACTGAGGCTGCTAAAGCGATTAGCTCTATTGCAACAGAGAACTCAGCTGTCTATACACACATACCTCTCCTGGGCTGGGTGCTCTCTGGATCAGAATCTCAGATTTTGATCTGGAGCTGGAGGAATCATGTTATTTTCTCTTCCCCCACAGCAAACAGGAGACACAAAAATACAATTTACTTAGATCTCTTCAGGCTCTTCTGGATGCCTTAAGAAAAAAAAAAAATCAGAGCTTTTTCTTAGGTGCAGCTTTCAAGGTACCTCATTATTACTTGAGCTGGGCAGGAATAACTTATGTAGACTGAGAAGCCCATTCTGTCAGGAAGGTCTGAGTCATAGGTCATGGTTTTTCCTTGGTAAATAGAACAGATTCTGTGCAGCTTAAACCCAAAGTGCATTAGACAACTGGTCTGTACATCCAAGACAGACATCCCGTCGTTCTGGCACGCTACTTGTTTCTCAATCTGGTCTTCTTCCCAGATTCAGTCATCACATCTCAAGTGATCACAGATCCCAATTCATGGAACTACTGAGCTGGAGACCAGACGCTGCCTGGCAAACAGAACCAGTTTCACAAACCGCAGAGCAAACTGATAGAGCTGCTCAGGGTGACGCTGAACGCGGTGCACCAGTCACCTGACAGTTACAGCGCACTGAAAACACTGGTTTGCTTGGCCAGGGCAACGCAAGCAGGGAGTCCTGTGCTGAACCCTAGCTGGGCTTGAAGTGATTCCAGCCTCTTTTTCCTGCAGCAGCTGGAACAGAGACCAGGGGCATACATCTTGCATAATGTCACATTGCCTGCGCGCAGAGAGCAAGCATATGGCCCCAGCAGTCACTCCTTCCCTCAGGGGTCCAACTTTGACATACGGGCACACTCGCTCGCTAGAAACATTGCTCTGCACCAAAAGACCTTAGAAGCAGCACTCTAGCCAAAGACAAAAGGTCTTTTATTCTTAAGAGCGTGTTACTTGTTACATCTTAATTTATACGATAGAGATTATTCTGTGGCATGCAAACCAAAGCAGTGAGCATCAAAATTGTTAGTTGCTGGAGAGGGCTGACTTTGCATTAGCATCTACAAGGGTTATAAAGCAACTGAGAGATCTGATTTTGAGAAGCTGATGTCATACGTAGCTGCACAGATCATACAGGATTTAGTTTCTTTGAGCCAGGTGCAGAACAGAGAATGCGCTGTGCTCTACTTTGCTCCAATGCCTTCAAAAAAAACCCTCTTAGTTTCACAGCACCTCTGTGCAGTACTGCCTCATTCTTTTAGGATCCACACTGTCTCCTATTTGACTTGAAATGGGAAAGGGCCATACTTTGCTACAGCTCTAAAACCAGTGGACACTAGATCTACTACTAGCTATCTACTATAATGATGCAAGCCATTGTAAGGCAACTGTAAAGGACTGGGCTTATATTATCTAAATAAAGGAAGCCCCAAATCTGGATTCCCAGACATTTAGCTAATCTTTTCTAGTTGACTTCCTTTTGTCCTATCCCCAAAGTATTAAAGATGCTTAACACAGTAAAAGTTTGTGTACTTGCTTTCCTTACTTGAGCCCACCGGTGGGGACAGTGTGGCATTTCTTGTGCTCCAATAATTGCTCAGGTGTCTTCATGAACTTGTGGCACACATCACACTCAAACATCCGTGTGATCAGGTGGATTTGCAGATGGCGCTCAAACATATTTTTTGTTTTGCAGACAAAATTACAGAAAACGCATTCAAAGCCTGAAGAATGAAAAAGAGAAAAATGCATTCCTCATATCGTGGCCGGATTTACTGCACAGAAGGTGACAGTTTGTGTTTGTTTAACAGGGTATTACCTTTCTCTGACTTCTCTTCAGTATTCAGTGAGGTCTGAGTACCAGGCACTACAGAAATGACTAGCAGGTTGTTTGAACCTTTATTTTTTGGAGTTACATCTGCATCTTCTTTGCTGTTGGCAGAGTCACTGAGCGCTGACAGCGAAGATGAAGATGGACTGTTAGATTCACTGGGTGTCTTCCTCTCTTCAGCTGAAAAACAGGAATAAAGGGCAATAACCAGTACAGCAGATTAGATGAAAACTCCGGTGATCCAGTTTTAAATTTAAAAAAAAAATCTTTATTTATACTTAAAGTTAATCCAAACTTGCTTCTAAACCAGTCTGAAATCAATTAGTTGGTTAAGGAAGCATCATAATTTCACCTCCTTCCATTTTATAAGTGTTTACAGTAGTATATCTGTTTTTCCTAGAATGTATTCTGTCTGCAATGGCACGAGCCCATCGTATTCTGCTGCAAGTCAAAAAAACTGGACGGGCAAATCATTACTTCCCATCCATGTGTTGGTTTATTCAGAGCTGTGTTAATATGAACTGTTAGCAAAGTCTGTTTTTTTCTACAGGATAAAGTCCCCTGATAGAGGCATCTGCAAAGAGCAGTGTGTGCCCAGCTTTAAACTCATGAGCGGCACCTTTAAGTAAGTCTGAGATAAAAATGTAGGAATGCACTAATGAAATCTGATGACCCAAGCTGTCAATAGGGAGGATGACTGGGATATCATACAGAAAGATTCACTGACCTTGGGGACCAGAGTAATAGAAATGGAATGAAATTTAATAGTACAGAGTACAAGGCTATGACCTGAAGGGCCAGTAACAAGAATTTTTGCTACAAATGAGGAGTGCTTAAGTTGGAAACAGTCAAGGAAAATAAAAGAAGAATTTGAGCAGAACATGGGATGAATATGAGCTATCAGCATGGTAGAGCCTCCAAGGAAGGTAAATATGATCACAGAATGTTATTGTCTGAGTTATTCCCAGTAGCTGCTGCTGTTTTACGCTACCACCATTACTTATTTCATTTCAACAAATCCACCATGTATGGCAGTGATTGTGTATGTCAAGAGCAGGGATTCTAACAAGAACACACACAGTGAGGAATTGGTACAGTAAGAAAAGAGTATTTCATGTAAGAAAAGGCTCTACGAACGTTTAGATGGGATTAAGTTGTTCTCCAGGAATATACGAAGGAATAAATACAGTGGGAGGGCCGAAGAAAGGTGGAAGGGCAAGAGGTGGACTGCTGTTTCAGACTGAAGACAGTTCTGGCACAAGAACAAAGTATGTGTGTTCTGATTATCAGTAAGACACATGCTGGAAATTTTAGCAAGGTACCTAATCTTTAATGCCAGAAAATCTGCAGCTGCCTGTCTGTTGGAATAACTGGTTTGAAACAATTCTACTTGCTTGAAGACATCTGCCAAGACCCTTATGAACAGATCTTTTATGACTCAGTAACCTTACAGGATAAGGGGCTGGGGTCAAGTGACCCACAAAATCCATTCTATTTTTTTGCCTCCATATTTGCCATATGTGTAAGCCCTTGCTGAACTGCTTGCTGAATGGCTCATTTTGACAGGGTGAATGAGGAACAAATAATTAAAAGAGAGGCTTTAAAAGACAAGCAGCATCTCCAGTCTTTTAGCCATGAGAGAAAGATGCAATTGAGTACAGCTCAGTTTTGAGCTTTCCATGTGGATGGCATTTCTCCATTTGCCTTGACTTCCTACACATGAAGTAGAGATAGGTTAAGTTTGGGTGAAGACAGAGTTGTAAGGGAACGCTAACACCTCAGACAGCAGGGAAATGGGAGCAGTGTTGTAGTGCTGAGAGCTGTGCTGGCACAAAATCCCATGAGGGCCTTCCATTCCAGCAGTTTGTATTTCTGTAGGGACATTTAACTTACGTATTTGTAAGCACAAACAGCTGCATTCCGCTCTCCTTTCTCCTTCTCCATATTCCTATTTTCCCACTTTTATCCCGGGAGGATAAAAGGAGGCACAATTTAACAATGGGAAAATTGTGCAGGATGCAATTCAGCTTCAGTATTGTCAACACAATTATGAGTAGCTTGTGATAGCAAAGTCCTTCTGCCTGGCATTATAAGAGAAATTAATTAAAAGCATTCTAATTTTCTTCTCCCTAAATTATGCCAGACTTCATTAGCTGGACTACGCACGTGGAGCTTGTTTGAAAACTGCTGTTGCTCTTATCTTTGGCTATTAAGTGAACAGGACCAAGGAGACTTGGTCTGGTATTCAATATAAAGTTGCATTTAAGGCATTGCTGAATCACAGTGTCGGCTAGGCATCAACATGATATTCCAACCTGATGGACTGTGTAGGTGAACAAACTGAAGACCAAAGCTCAATATTTTGTGTGTTACAAACTTAGAGCCAGGTATGCATAATTAGCACTCAAAGTCACCTTATCATCTCTGAAGTCAAACAAGGATTTTGATGAAAATTTAAACCAGTCAAAAAAACACAAACAATGTATGCTGACTTCAACCAGGGAGGGGATTTGGGGGATGTGAGGAAGGAAGGCTAAGTAGTCCTTCATTTATTCCCCTAAGCTTGAAAATTGATCTGCACTACCAGATTATTTGCCTGGCTGGAGTCCAATTCACTTCAGCTTTGAGAGATCAGGCCTTAATTAGCAAGCATTTCAGTGAAAGTAAAAAGAGCGCTGATGGCAAGTGTGAAGGTTGCACCTAAAAAGCAGGGAAGAGATCACGGCAGCTGGGAGAGGGGGATCATCACCTGTGTGCTTGCTGTTGACATGAGCCTTCATATCTGCCTCCTCCATGGTGACAAAATCGCACGCGGTGCAGCAGATCGAGAACATCCACTGCTCTTTGTCCACGTGGAGGGACATATGACTGACAAACTGGACGTTCATCTCTGTCTCAAACCCACACACATGACAGCTGCAGGCAGAAGGGAATTCAAGAGTAAGCAGGATTAAAAAATAAAGCACAAACAGAAGCACATTGCCCTTCCCTTCATCTTCACAAGAAAAAACTCACTGCACAGATTTATTTTCTTCCTCACTGTTGAATGTTCACTGGAAAATTCTTTTGTCTGCTGAACTGCCTTTGAACTGATGGCCATGCCAACGTGATTAAGGGCAGGCACAATGCAACAATCCTGTACATGCTATAATGATGCTAAATAATCATAAAGTTAATTAAAAACTACAGATTCCAGATGCTGCGCATCACCTAGCTGATTCCTTTGGGCAATAAGAGGCATTGCAGCCTTGCCAAGATGTTTAGTATGGCTGATACACTGACAAACGGAGAGCTTGCTGCACACTCCAGGAGTTATTTTCAAGCCCTGGAATGGTTCCCGTGCCAAACTGGGATCCTGTGCAAAACTGCCTGGCAGTTTCAGTGTAAGCAAGTAAAAATGGGTTCAAACATTTCTTATGCTTGACTGGAAAACAGCAGTCATCAGCTATACAAATAATTAGCAAGGAGACAGATTTCACAGCCAGTGCATAAACAGAGTGATACTGAGAGGCAACGGAAGGGACCCTTTAATTTAACTTTCTGTGCAGAGTCCTCCTCTTGTTTTGATTAGGCCATTAACATTTAAAACAAGCCAAAAACATTAAAAAGGCGTATACTCTAGGGCACTATTTTGCCTTCCCAGGGGAAAGGACTAGATAATCTAATCCAGGAGGTCTTATTTATTTCTTACTTCTATGGTTTTGTAATTAAATCTGCTCTTGGCATTTTGACTGAAAGTAAGAGTGATTTTGTAGTCTGCTTGGCCACTAGGGTACGTATCACAGTTTGCAGAACACGCAACAGCGCATACAAGGAGAATGTCCAAACAGCCATTTTATCTGGGCAATTCCTTTTAAGTTTCCAGGTAAATTCTCCTAAAGATCTTCTTTTATCATGTTGGTCACAGAACGTATATACCTCTAGCAAAGGAGGGAAATGTGTATGTAGTCAATATAATTATTTTAAAACTTTATTCTGTGATTTCATAGATTTGGCTGGAAACAGTGGAGCTAACAGACACAACTGGAAGCACAGCACTTTACATTTGCCATGAATCTGTGTATACAATGGGATATTTTGAAGCACAAAACTTAAATGAAAAGTTTATGAGGCTTCTTGGAGCCCATCTGCCTCACGCAGCCATTAAAAACCAACTACAAAACACACACCAAAAATGTCAGTCCTTCCCAATGGCCATCCAAGTCAAACAGCATGAGGCAGCCACATGGGTTTTGCTGCTTAGCCCGAAGTCAAATACGGGTAAGCCAAATACTTTGAGAGCAGTTCCACCCAGCGACACCAGAAGGGTGGCCCTGTAACACCGCCTTAGCAGGCAGCTAAGACATTCAGATTCCAGTGTCTGGTGCACAGCCCTCGTCTGGGTCCTCACCTGTAATAATAAGGGTGCTTCTTTCCATCACTGCCTTCAGAAGTGACAGCGCTGACAATGTCCTCAGTGTCTGTACTCACCAGCTTCACAGAATGGACGGTCAGGTGTTGGTTCAGATTAGCACGGCACTTAGCAGCATAGGGGCACAAGTGGCATTTGTATTTTCTCTCTTCTGAGAAAGAAACAGAAAACTTTCAATGTATATTTCATATTGAAGCAAGAGATTTTCAAAGCTTCCAAATATGCATTCTTTGGAGTCTCTCTGAGCAACTTCCTGAATGAGGTACTTCGGAAGCTTGGCACTTTGCAAAGTTATAGTTCACAGCAATTACTCAGAAATAAGAACTCATCCAGAGGTAGTTTAGGGCTAGGCTGTTTTTTGTTTGTTTTTGTTTTTAACATGTTCTACCATTTGTAGTCAGCTAATATAAAACCTCATAAACTGGAAAACTGGGGTAACTGCTGCTCTGAGAGCTGCAGCAGAGCCAGTACAGAAACAGGTCAATAAGCTACACCTACTTCCTTTACCTAGCATCTTTTATTTGATTTTCGGGCCCAGTTATTCTTGAGGTTGCCCATGTGATCACTTGCAGAGAGTTGATGGTTTTGCATTAAAATCTGAGAGTGGGGAGAAAAGGGAATGCTGCATCATCAGGCCAATTCTGAACATAAGCTAACCAAAAAACCACTCAAAGAGCAATTAAAGAAATTAAACACAAGTTTTGCTGCTTCACAACTGTTAAAATAAAAATTATTTTAGATTAAGCATTTCTAAATCCTGGCAGCGATCTTTTTGTGCATGCCAGGCTTCATTTTGTGAAGAGCTGATTAATAAAACAACCAAACATTACATCAGCTTTTACAACATTTCCCTTTGAAGAGCTGCTGCTCTAAATTTGAAATATAATAGTACAAATGTTAGGGGACCAAATTCAATAGAGAAGCTTTGGATTAAGAAAACCCCATAAAGCCAAGGAGCAAGGAGCATCTGAACCTTTTCAGCATGGCTATACTAAATGACACGGCTTATACTGGCATTATGCCAACAGTATTTTTCAGCACCGCATCAGAAATTCTTGCTTTCAAGTCTTAACTTGTGCAGTGCACCTCAGCAGGCCGACAAGGCCCATCTTCCGCATCAAAACTCTGCTGTCTCAGTGGATTTGATTCTGATCGGATTTAAGAAGGCTGGTAGGGGGTAGAACAGCCCGTGTTCCTCTCAGAAGAAGTGAATGATGAGAGCAAAGGTGAGTGACAGATCCTAAATCTTTTTGGTTTCACCACATCTGAAACACCAAGGCCAAATCTGTTGTTGTTAAGTAATGTTTAAAAAGCTCATCAGGTGAATGTAAAAAAGGCCAGATAAAGGCTGCGTCTTCGGAACTGTGTTAATGGTTTTGATTAAACAGCTGAGGTCTACACGCAAGTCTACTGGAACCTGGACAGACTTGAACTTGCAGATTTTGTAAAGATTAATTACAGATAGGCTGTAAAGAAATGTTAGTTAACTCTCTGTGCACCACTGCTATGACATTCTGGCCTGTTTCTGGGCTTGGCTCTACTCTAGGTGCAAGAAGCTGATAGCTCCTTCCATACACACTCCTCTGCTTACCTTCTCCCCAGGCCACGATGAACACGAGGATTTCCTCAGTGCTGCAGAGAACAACAGAGCATCAGCTTACCTGTGTGCAGCGACAGATGTCGGGACAATGTCTGCTGTCGGCCAAACACTTTTCCACACACATCGCAGGGGAAGAGCTGGTCATTAAATTTCCAAGACGGCAATCCATTTCCTGCCTCCAACCCTAGCTTTTCTGCTTCTATGCCCAAAAACACAAACAGAAAGTTGTACTTTAATAACTGTAAAGACTTTCAGATTTCACCCAGCAGAGTCCTGTAGGTGTCATTTAAACACAGCACTTCAGGTATGTGCAGCATAAAAGTGGCACACAAGTTCATGTAAAAAGGAAACTTTCCCAGTGGTGGAAAGAAATTTAATCTTTCATACAGCATATTCCATACATATTCTAAAGCAGAATACTTATAAACTAGATGTAGAATTAAACCGGATTATGTAAATAGAGAAAGTCAAAGTGAGCAGTGCAAAGCATTAGCCTCCAATTCTGATTTTGTGGAGAGACCCCTCCTTTGGCTTTTTCAATCACCCACTTTTGCCTGGTGGATGAAGAAGACCTGGTCTGAGCTGGTGGTTTATTTTCCACTGGATTATTACTCACAGATGAAGGAAAACTTCCAACCCTTTCCTATTGATGCAGAAACTGCTGCAATATGAGCATCTTCCACTGAGGGAGAGCAGAAGATTGCTCAGACAAAAGCTAAGTGAAGAGAGCCCAGCATGCCAACGAGTGGGTGGCATCTGGCGTAAGCTCTAACCAGCACCTATGGTCCTCAGGCTTCAAAATCCCCAACAGCTTAGAGGTCTGTCCACTGAAAAACTCAGACACACAGACAGCACTTATCTTTAGAGAAGTGCTTTTAATTGTTCCAAGGACAGAGAGACTCTGCTGTACAAAAAAAAAAAAAACAAAAAAAACAAAAAAAACAAAAAAAACAAAACTCCACACAGCATAAAATACAGACATAAATGCACTCTGTAAAGATGCAGAGAGAAAAAGACTGAAAGTGAGGAAGACAAAAAACGTACACGGTGCTTCAGGAGGAAGATAAAAGCATGACCAGCTTTGATCTGGACAAAAGGGAGCAGGAAACCGATAGAGACTGAAGAGAGCAGTGATACTACTTAGACCTATATGAGGACTTTTGCTAAAAGGCTGCCTACTTCTACTGGACTGATGAAAGATGCAACGTGCAGAGCACCCTTCTCTAATCCCGCACCGCCTGTGACACTGCTGCCCAGAACTAATTCCCCTGGTGCACGTGTGATGGAGGGAAGCCATTTGGCTGGTGTTTTCAAGTACACAAAAGGACAACTGAGGACAAGAGTGCAAAAACCTTACTGAGCTTAAGCTGCTACCTTGGAGGTTAGTACAAAACAGTGAAATCTTCATCCAGTGCAACACTGAGGAATAAACGCCCACGTGTACAGGCAGCAGCACCTACCACTGCAAATCTGGCTAGCATGTCTGGAAGAGTCTCTCGTTCACAGATAGGTGTCCATCTCACTACTGTGATTTAGGCAAATAGTTGTCAAATACTGTAATTAATTTAAATGATAACAAAAACAGTGCCTCATTTAGGGCTGAGATTGCACACAGCAAGTTTATGGATGGTCGTATTTGCCAGCCTGGTTTCAGCTCCTGTTCCTTCCTCCTGTGACCCTGTGTGTGTACAATGGTCAGCACAACTCAGAAATTATGAGGCACCTCTGAGTACTACCATCCAACAACAACACAGTGGTTCTTACAAAATTTCTAGTCATGAAACAAGTCCTGCCTCTTCAAAATAGTCACTTTGTGAAATTAAAAATGGAAGACCCTTGCCCTCACCCCCTAAGGGACCGTGACCCTTAACTTCCAGGAACTCGAACAACAAATGAGTCTTTTTGTTACCATCCTCGAATTCAAAACAATGGAAAAATCTGACTCTGTACTAACATTACAGTTATTTCAGCAGAGCTTCTTGAGTACATCATCGAAACAGTGCTTTAAAAGAGGCATGTGGTAATAATTATAAGAGAAGGTCACACAGGTGCAGGTTGCTTCAATATGGTCACAACAAAAATGAATTAATTAGGACACATACCAAACAAGTAGGCTCAATTAGAAGTAAATAAGTCTCTTAACAATTCATTTCAGCATTAATCATCAGCCCGCTTTTATCACTTTATCCTCTTCCCCCTGGCAGATTTATAGCTATCAGTTCTGGGAAGCTCATAGGAAGTTGGAAAAATATCAACCTTCTGGTTATCTTGAGCTACTGAAAGCTAGTTCATCGCAAAGCGGCTGCATATTTCTCATTGATGCAAAAGAGGATACTGTAGGTGTTTTGAAAGTACTTCTGTTTACTTTAAAGATTTATTCCTGGAGTGAGTACCTCCGAACTACACTAACTACATTAACAGCTAGTGTAAAGAAGCACTACCTACAGTGCTTCTTTCTTCCCCTTTCTGCTGAATCTTCTCTCTACAGCAAAGTGCTTTTTCTTTTCAGCGAGCTTCTTAGTTTGTTCATGGCAAACCAGAGCTGGTCTCTGGTGCAGCAGGAGCCTCTGCACTTTGTGGGAGATTAAGGCCAACAGCATCCTGGCTTGCATAAGAAACAGTGTGACCAGCAGGGCTAGGGAGGTGATCGTCCCCTTGTACTCGGCTCTGGTGAGGCCGCACCTCGAGTACTGTGTTCAGTTTTGGGCCCCTTGCTACAAGAAGGACATCGAGGTGCTCGAGCAAGTCCAGAGAAGGACGACGAAGCTGGTGAGGGGTCTGGAGAACAAGTCCTACGAGGAGCGGCTGAGGGAGCTGGGCTTGTTCAGCCTGGAGAAGAGGAGGCTCAGGGGCGACCTTATCGCTCTCTACAGATACCTTAAAGGAGGCTGTGGTGAGGTGGGGGTTGGTCTGTTCTCCCACGTGCCTGGTGACAGGACGAGGGGGAATGGGCTAAAGTTGCGCCAGGGGAGTTTTAGGTTAGATGTTAGGAAGAACTTCTTTACTGAAAGGGTTGTTAGGCACTGGAACGGGCTGCCCAGGGAGGTGGTGGAGTCACCATCCCTGGAAGTCTTTAAAAGCCGTTTAGATGTAGAGCTTAGGGATATGGTTTAGTAGGGACTGTTAGCGTTAGGTCAGAGGTTGGACTCGATGATCTTGATGTCTCTTCCAACCTAGAAATTCTGTGATTCTGTGATTTTTCAGCTCCGAGGGAAACCACCTATTTCTACTTGCCTCACCCTCTGGAGAGCTCTGTCTGCAGCCTGGACACTGAAGCCCTGTGTCCACGTGGTGGTCCAGAAATCTTCCCAAAACACAGAGTACCTGACCTGGCCAGTGACCTGAGCATCGGGTGAGTCAACGTTCACATTCAGTCCCTGGGCTCTGCCTCTAGTTAATGCCAGGGAATGGCCTTTTCTGTGAAGCGAGTACATGTCCAGCGACTCTGAGACCGTAACACTGCTTTGTGCACAGCGTTCCCTGTGCGTCCCAAAGTGTTTACCAAGAAAGCATCGTTTTAAGAATACTTTACACAGAGGGTCATGCAGTGGCCAGAAGGAAGATGGACTGAGACCAACTAACATCAAATAATAAATCACCATTGTGAGAGATGCCTCATAGAAATCCATCTTCCACCAAGACATTCCCATACTTAAAAAATAATAATAAAAAAAAAGACCTGACATAAGATTTCTTCTTCAAACATTCAACAGCAAATTCCAAAGCATTTGTGTTAAAAAAAAAAAAAGGACAAAATAATACTGAAATTATTAAATAACTAAGAGGCTGCATAGGTCTTGGAGTTTAAAACAAAGTATGCTTAGTAAAATGGAAGGCCTCCAAGTTCTTCAGTACATCATTAAAAAGTAATAGTTTAAGACTCGGTATATTAAGGGTTAGTAATAAAATTATTTTGAAATAGTTTTGCATGAAAGTTTTAAGAGCTAGATTTCTTTTATTTTTTTTTAATAAAAAAGTAAAACTTCATGAAATTTAGTGAAACACATTTTTATGGTCACCTTTCCTGCCCTTCTGAATCACCTGGCATCACTTCCCTACTAACCCCAAGTCAACTTCATAACAAGTACCCGTATTAAAGCCAACCATTCCCAATGGGGTTAGAAAGAGCTGGGACTGTCCCCACTTCAAGTTACCCTGTGGTGAGGGTACGGCAGATAACAGCTGCAGAAATGTTGCTCCATCCCTCCCCTTGCCCCTTCAAATAGATTAATTTCTGGTAGGCAAAGCCCAGTGGCTTGAGATAATCACTACCTACCCCTTTCCTAAGCTGTTAGTGATAATTCAGTTTTCACATTTAGCATTTAGTGAACTTGTTTTTTGTACCCTCAAAGTGGTAATACCGCTATGAAGAGCGCGTTAACCACCCCTTCTAAAAAGCCTTAGTCTGACTTCTGACAAATGCCGAGAGGATACCGTACCTGGCTGAAGCTGTAAATGAAGAGAACAAAGTGTGACCTGAATGCATAAGTACCTGTCTAGAGTCACTAAATCAGCACTGTGACTGCTAGAAGCTCTCACATAGGAAGAAACTTCCCAAGAGACTGGATTTGGGCTCTGATACATCGTACTTTGATTACTTATTTTCTTTTACTTAGCTTGTGTGTTTTTCAATTACTGCTTCACGGTGCTTTTTACTGCATTGTATTTCAATCTGTGGTTCACTGCAATGCTTAGCTTTGTAACTTTAGACCAATAACTGAAAGAATGAAGCCACTATTTAACTGAAAAATATAAAGATAAGAAAACAACCAAAATATATATGATGAAGCATTTTTCAAAGATAAATTGATGTTTATAACCACTGCTGGTTTACTGTCTGCTCTGACACCCTATAACTCACCGAAACAGCTGCTTCTCTGTTTCATCTTCACAACTCCGTAGACCTCAGAAGCAACAAACGCCACAAGGGCAGATCCTTACAGTCACAGAGAATACTACAGATAAAAATTAAATAGATCATCCTCTGCAATAAGCATTCCTTAAAAAGGTAGAAGTGAGAGAGAGGTGCTGATGAGACCTAGCAAGGAAGGTCAACATGTATCATCTCCATTCTTCTGGGAGTGTGTATCACATTTACACCTTAGGTTATTCAGACAGTTTGATACCACGTAGACAGTCAAGAAGAAATCAAGGAAGTGATTTTGAAAAGGAAGTTAACAGAAATTCTGTGAAGGGAGAAAGCAGAGAGTGGTGGTTAGATCGTTTTTGATCAATCCCCCTTGCAAGCAAAATGTGATGAAGAAAACAAGTTCAATGTCTAGAGGAACTGGTGACAGAACAGTCACACGGGACAGCTGAGCACTAAGAGGTAGAGATGGCCGAACTCACAACAAGAAATGAACTGGAGAAAGGCAGATAATAGCTGATGCAAAAAGAGGGAAAACGAAATGTGCGATACCTCCCTCCTCATACTCCTCAGGGAGGAAACTTGATGAAAAGGATATGAGATGTAGAAGGAAGCTCCCAAGGGAGAAAGCATCTAAAAAACTCCACAAAAACAGAAAATGAATAAACTGACCAGCAAACAGTGCTGGATAAAGTAACCAGGTTTCTATGATCCTCATGGCTAGAGGACCTACACAACTAGTAGTGCAGATGTCCCACGACAGGATACCTCAGCTTGGCTGTGGAAAACTTAGGCAATTCAACAGTCACCAGATAACTTTGGGTTCCTACCAGCCTGAAATGGATTGCTGCTAGCCTGCCCGCCACCTTTCAAGTACCTCACTGTTACCCAGGAAGTATATATACTGCATGCAGCTGAATCAGAACGTCACAAGAGCTTGTCCCATTCATAAGGTTATTTCTATTTTGTTGCATCTAGAAAAGTAGAAGTTCAAGAAATGATTTATTCAGAAACAAGGCATTCAGATCAGGCAATCACACAAATGCTACTTTAAAAACAAGTATTTGGTCACAGGTTTTTTTCGTTGTTGTTGTTTTTTTCCCCTTCTTCCTCTGCTTTTCTTCCATGTTATTATGTCTTTTTGCTCTCTGCAGTGTCCACATCATCAAAGATGCATTTTACTGCTTTGGAGCCTTCCACCTACGTGTTCATCTATCACCTCTGGCAAGCACACAGTATTTAAAAATCAAGAACTTCTTTTGTGCAATATGTAATTAAGGCTTTGCTGGAAGCTTGTTTGCCGAAAGCCTGAGAAGGGCTTGCAAGCTCAAAAGTATATTGAGTGTATGAAATTGCAGTGCTCCAGATACTATATATCTTACTCCCTTCCCAACTTACTTTCACAAAGGTTTTATTTGTGGCACCAGAACTCTTATTTCTAGTAAGTCAGTTAAAATAAATGGTGGAATCCTTCCAGATACTGAAGTTCTTAAGTAAGATATGTCTTGCTAGTTATCTAAGGGATCTGTGATCCTTAGTGGTCCTGCAGTCTTCATTTGTCACTGCCAGCATCACAGCAACCTGTCTGGTCTTATTTTGGGATTTATCTTTTACTGTGAGCAGACTCATCCACTATTAGCCAGTGATAAGCAACAGCTTTTTGGCATAAAAACAAAAATCTGTGCTCCCCATAAAAATAAATAAGAAAAATGTATATAAATAAAAACAAGGTTCAGCTGAAATTCCAAGCTGTTTTGCCTGACACCTTTGTGGGCTTTCTTTTAATGACTTTTTGTAGCTAGTAAAGGCAGCAAGTGCTGCAATACCAGTTCAGGGGCATCTGTTCAGACAAACCCAAGTCCTCTTGCTTGTGTTCTGGCTGGCCAGAGGTGAGCCTGCACAGCCTGGGAGCTGTGTAGTGCTGGCAGCAGGGCCCTGTGCCCAAGATACCGAGTTTGAAGCATGAACAAAGGAAGGGCCTATGTAACCCTGCATCAGATAGGAGAAGTTATTTTGGGAGTTTTTAATAACAACAGCAATGCTCAATAATAATAATAAAAAAAATTTACTACCCAAATATACAAACTGTAATTCCACTTGCAAGGGAACTTGTACTTTTTATTTCATAAATCTTGAAAACCTGCACACAATCTGTCTGAATGACACACACAAAAAAAAAAAACTGCACAGAGGAAGCACAAAACACCTCATTGCTAAATAAAACAACTTTACCAACTAAGTTACAGGCTCTTATTTACTTATTTTTTCTTAATTTCTTCAGAACTAATTAACATTACTATACAATATGGCAAAAGATAGTCAATGTTATGGTACTTTAAAATCATTGATATGGGATAAAATAGAAACCAAATGACTTTATGTATTAGAAGTGTAGTGCTTAAGTTGCTCTTTCTGAAGCCATCGAGCAACAAAACTTGGAAGTATTTCAATAAAGAGTTTGCATAACCCACAAAAAGAAACATTAATATCATGCATTGAGTTATTCCAAATGCACGATGATAGGCGACAACACTTGAGAAGATCACTGAGAACTGATAAAGACGCTGTTTTTTGTGGCAAAAAAAAAAGAAAAATCGAAAGATTAAAAAGAATAAAACCCATGTTATGACAAAGATAAGGTAGGGGTACCCTGACTTCAAAGCACATGTCCACTTCCCACCCTTGTTTCAAAATCAACTCCTCTTACAACTTCACTTATGAAACAGAGAGCTTCTGATCAAACACTGAGGTTTGGGATAATCTTCAGCTGCATTATCAAGGTTTCAGATTTGCTTTTACTTTAAACTCAAAACTTTAGAAACAACCAAGAAAACAGAAATTTCCTTCCCAGGTCAAAACTTAAATCAGTCTGTTTGTAAATTCTGTGAAAGACAGCTGGAGTTGCAGATTTTTAATAAATCCTAAAGCTGCAATAATTTCCCAGGCATTTCTTGAAACACATTATTTTGCAAAAATAAGGCCTTGAGCTGTAACATTTCTGACCAGAAAGTAGTGGTCATGGAAGAGTCCGTCTCTCTCACTGCACAGGCTCCAGCAGTTCCTTTATCATTCACAGTTACCACAGTGAAGAAAGTCAGCTTGATTTCATAACTCTACATGAGATAATGCAATATGGTCCACATGGAAACTGGTTTATTTCTTAGACAGAGTTGAGACATTGCAAGAAAGGGAAAGAAATTAGCAGCAAATTCCCCCAAATTGTGTTTTTGAAAGCTTGTCTGCTCATTGTCAACCAATAGAGCTATTAGTCCCCTGAGTAGCAAAAAGCTCCATCAACATAACTTTTTCTTATTTAGAAATAATAGCTATTATAAATAAAAGTTAAATTTTGTAGCTATTATCAGAGAAAAATTTTATCATGTGCTCCCTGTTGTCCTATGCTTTATTTTAATAGAATACTACAACATCCCCCTGAAACTCTTCATGATAGCTGCAAGATGCACTACAATGAATTTGCATAAGCCCCCCTCCAATTCACTCTGAAGCAGGTGGCCCTCACATTTAGCTCCTCCATTTACACCATTTGTAACATTTATTTTGGGTGCTACGATAGTGAATACAAATGAACTTATGAAAGTATAATTTGCTCCTATTGCCTATTATTTTTTAAACACAGTTGATTAATGTCTGTATTGCCAATTGGTTTCTACCCTTTGTGTTTCTTTCCTACAATTCTGTTTAAGACACACTTTCTAAGAAACACTTTTAGACATGATTCAGTGACTGCCGTGCGTATTTAGGACTGTTATCCTATGTGTATAAATTACTTTTTGTCACTCTGCCAATTTCTACTTGCAAGTCCACCTGAAGTGGGGGCTTTTCTTCCACAGAGAGGAAGTAATAACACATTTAGGGCACTTTGCAGAGTCTAACACTTGTACTCCATCCAGGATTCAGATACAAATAAAGACAAATTGGCCTTTTGATTACATTTTTCTTTTCGGCTCCCTGCATCCTTTCTAGAGGAGTAAGGAGTTGTTTAGTAGGGGAATTGTAAGCTGGTGACCAGAAATACCAGTGGGGAGGATGCAAAAAAAACCCACCAAACTCAAGCACAGGCTGAGTACCTCTTCCTGACCTGACTAAATTAAGATTCAAAACTCGATGAAAGTAACTGCAAACATCCAGCAAAAGGCACCTTGCTGCATTTTCAGCGAGTTGCCAGGGGAGAGGTGCCACCCTGCACAGTACCTGGTTGCAGCTGTAGAAGAAAAACAATTCTTGTGCTTTTCTTGCAAATTTCACGAGCGATAAGCAATGAATCTGCTATTTCCTTGAAGCCCTTAACTCACTCTTCTTTAAGAGGAGATTCACCTCTTCCCTCTCTTCCATAAACATGTATCCCTCCTTCCTCCTGCACTGCAGGCTGCATCCGCAGGGCACCGGGGCAGTCGGCATTGACCATGGCCCCAACAGGGCTGGACTAGAACATCCATGGACCAGCAGGGAAATTTGCACCCTGATTGAAACAGAGCTGTAGAAGAAAAAAGCCTCTTCTCTTGCTTTGATATTTTTTTCAACAATGGTCTTATTTTTTTTTAAGCTGTTCCAATAGCCTGATGAATTTTGCATTTAATTTCCTCCTAGGCAGACAAATATCGTAGAAGACAACCTTGTACAAAATGAGATAGGTGAGGACTGGAGAGTCCCAAGGTAACTCTGAAAAGGAACGCCACAGAATGATGTGTTCCTATTCCTCTTGCAGAGCGAGAAAAGTCATTTTAAAACCTCAATTTCTATTTCATGTTGGGCTTGCATCTGGAAAAGTTTCCTATTTGGTCTGTTTTACAAAATATTCTGCTATTAAGACAGACAAAAGAGGACATGAGACTCCATATGGGTTTGAATAACATGCAGAGCCTAAAACCCAGCATGCTGAGCATTTATAAGCCAAAAGCCCCATCTATCAAGTCTCTTTCAGAAGGTTATTTAATCACCATTACAGCTTTGCTACTGAATTTCTATCACAGAATTGGATCTGGAGGGGACCTCAGGAAGCCACTTTTTCCTCGCCCAAAGGCACACCTGCTACACACGAAGCATACCTACCAGTCCTTACAAGTGCTTTTCTAACATAAAAAAAAAAAACTCAAAAAACAATTTAACAATTTAAAAACATTAAAAAAAAAAAAGCTCCTTTTTTGTGGTGCTCACCATTCACCCAAGCATGGAATTTCGACCTCACTGACATAACCACTGTTTTCCGGACTATTTCTTCACTTCCTCAAGACAAGATTGAACTCTACTTCTCTCCTCTGAAGGCACCTCCTAGCACGGTGTCACCAGGACACTTAATAAGCACGCTTTCCCTTCTGTCACCTACATCATTAATTAAAGGCCCGAATAATACGAGAACAAGCGCAGACCCTTGCAGAATCCCACTTGGTTCCTGGGGTTTGACAGCTACCCTCACCCACTTGATTAAAGTTTCACCTGCTCTAGGTTTCCCTCCATATTATTATTTTAATAAAAAATAATACATTCCACGATTAGTTTACTTTTTTAAAAATCACTTGCTGTCAAGCAACAGAAAAGCCACATGCTAAGACGTTAAGAGGTACCAAAACCTGCCCTACTAAAGGGTAAAAAGAAAGCCCAAATGCTAAGTTTTATTTTCCACATGGAATGAAGCTGTTACCTTTGCCCATTTTGCCTTGGATTTGATGTTGTTGATATGAACAGCTTCTGGTCTGCTGGATTTAGCCAATGGAGTCTAACATGGGTTTATCCCCAAAGAAACCAGAAGGTATTTGTTCTGAGTGAAATGACTTTCTTATGTCATTTGCCATGAAAAACAAAGGGAAAAGAAATGAAAATAAATATTTTTGTCTGTATGAGAAGACTGCAGTGTAAGGCAGAAAAAAATGACCATGTATAAAGGCAGCCCATAATAAAAAATTACCCATTAAAAAGTCATAACTTTTCAGATAGAAATGCCTTTAAAGACATCCATTAGACACAGACCTGAATGTATTGCTGTTTGTCTATTATAATTAACACTTTTCATCTTGAAGTTCCTGTAAATAATAGGCAAAATAGTGAGTGCAGTGCCTTCACAAGGAGAAGTAGCAGCCCTGTATGCCCACAGCAGCTCTTGCAAAGCCCAGCTATTTAGCATATGCTGTACTTAGAGAGGGAGCAGTCAATTCACCAGGAGTCTCATGCGTTCCTCAGAAGGATCTGATCACAGTCCCCTTAGTTGCTGTGGGAATGGCCAATAAAACATGATTGTTAAGAAAAATTTAAACATGTACACACGTGCACATGATACACACTTCAGTTGTCCTATTTTAGCCAAAGAACGCACCGTGCATTTTTGAGCAAGAGGAGGTTTGATGACTTGAAATGGTCTCTTCTGCCTAAGAATGCTTTCTCTTTTGCAAGGGGCCTTGTTAGTTTTGAAGAGTGTGATGGCTGCTCAGGAGACGGGCACTATCACCGCACCACAGACCTGCAACACACGTGCATTAGCTGCAAACATGCTTGGCAGCAGACCCAGAAAAAAACTGAGAAGAAAACGTAACGCTGTAGGTTTGCTTGGTAAAGAGATTCCATGAAAGGAAGCAGAAATTCAGCAGCCCCTGCTCAATGGCTGCAGTGCAGGCTGGTTGTCAAGGCAGCTGGGCACACAGCAAAAGAAGGCTGCGCCCAGGCAGATGATCATGGGAACCTGAAGACAAGATGCTACAGATAAAAACAAGCAAGAGTCAGAACCACTGTCACACAGCTTAGCACTAAATGATGTTGAACAAATTCCGAAAATCTTTCACAAGTCTCTCCTTGTGGAACTAGGCCAAGCACAGCCCACTTCTTCAGCAGTTCAACTATCTTGCTTTCCTAGAATCACTGTCTGCAACTTGCCAGTTATCTGTCTCTTGCTATCAAGACTTCAGAGAGCAACCACGATGGCTGACAACCCTTAGCCTCTTAACGTGTGCAAAGACAGCGTACACCAGGTAGCGTGTACCCAGGAGATGTACTTTCCGTGTGAAGAATCAAAGTAAAATGCACGTTGGGAATCAGGAACTTAAATGAGCTACTCGAATCAATTTGCCGCTCTGTCACAAGTATTTTCCTACCGTTTATGAGGCTGTCACATTGGTTGGATTTGTCAGAGGGCTCTCCATTATTCTTCAGGTATCTGCATGGGTTCATATACATACACAGAAAGAGAATCTGGTTGAATTTCACCCAGACAGGTATCAGAAGAGAAATAAAATTCAATAGTTGCTTTTGAAGACCAAACAAACCAGATTTTGGGAGGGTTAGTGAGTACCTAACACTGTGTTCTGCAGGCAGTGATGACAGCAGCGTAGCATTACCTCCAGCACCGCTTCCAGCAAGCACATCTCACAACAATGCTGAGATGGAAATGAACAACAGGAACAAATGCCTGGTGGAGCAAACACGACATAGTGAATCTAGTGTCACTCTACATTTTTCCACCCTACCAAGAAGCCAACAGGTATCAGGCACCGTCATCATCAAGAAACTGAAGGGCTTATCAAATGTCCTGGGTGGGTAAAGCTCATAACTCAGAGCAAAACTGAAAGCAAATGAAATGATCATAAACATAAAAAATTGGATAAAAGAGGAAAAAGTGCACTAGGTAAGTCAATTCATGTGCAAGTGGACTCCCTCTGCTACTGGATTGGCAATAAAAATTGCTAATCCATCACAGGGCCAGAAAATGCTGCTAGGAGCTTGAAATGTTCTTTCAGACTTAAAAAAAAAAAAAAAAAAAAAAAGTCTGAAGTCCAGCAAACATGACTAAGGGATAGGAGCATCTGTCATACAAGGACAGCCTGAGACAGCCGGGACTGCTCAGCAAGGCGCGTGGGAGCTTTTCAACGTGTATATGTACCTGATGGGGGGAACAGCGAAGACAAAGCCAGGCCCTTCTCAGTGGGGCCCAGTGGAGAAGAGGCAGAGGTACAAATTGAAATGCAAGGAATTCCATTTAAACATTAGAAAACACTTTTTTTTTTTTTATTTATTTATTTTTAAACTGTAAGGGTGGTAAAGCACTGGCACAGGTTGCCAAGACAGCTTGTGGAGTCTCCATCCCTGGAGATACTCCAAACCTGCCCAGACAGGGTCCAGAGCAGCCAGGCTGAACTAGACGGGTCTGGTTCAGCAGTCTCTTTTTACCTCAACCATTCTGTGATTCTCTCAGAAATAATAGTCCATAGGTTCTGCTGTTGTGAATGTACTAAAAAATCAAATGCTTGTATTTGTACTCTTAAATCCTAGCTTTCCTTTAAACATTTTGGCATTTAGGACTGCGAAGAAAGCCTTCATAAAGCGAGCAGGGAATTACCCATAATGTGAAGTTAGAGGCTTTTTGGCAGATATAAGCAAACAACAACTGTAAGAAGGTGTGAATTGTTCTAATTAACTCCATGGGTACATGGCTGGGAAGCTATACAATGGCAATTTAAATGCCAACATTTCATTGTTGAGCACTTCAGCAGAATCCTTAGGGCCTGTGCGTTTCACAGTCCCCTATGGCCTAGCACATTTTCCAGGGTGACAGAAGTGCCACAGAAATAAAAACCTCGAGGTCTCCTTCCATCTCTACAGTGCAGTTACAGTGGTCTCAGGAACAACATAAGGTAAGTTAAAAATAGAAAGTCTGGCAGCAGGCTAAAAGAGGCCAAGCTGGAAAAGAGTCACTGGCAACTTGTGGAGAAATGGAAGCTATAGCCAGATTCACTCTCACTTCATATTCAATTTATCAAAACGCTGACATTCTTAACTAACCCAGAGATGACCCAAAATTCAGAACTAGTTGCAATAGGTAGTTGCAGGAGCTCAGTTCGCTGCAGAGCACAGGGCCACAATCACAGTGCAAATACTGCCAGAAATGCTGTGGATCAGTGAGCATGTTTGCAGCTTGGACCAAAAGAGCTCTTGCTACCTACTTTCTAGATGCTTTAAGCCACATATGCAAAATAACAACATCACGATTACAATGTTAACCTTAAAGTGCCTTTAAAAAGGGATTAGGAAGGAAGAAACATGTAAACTACTTCATCCTAAAGCATACGGCGCCTGGGCAGCAATGAACAGCTTAATTACTTATCACGTCCAAGTTAAACTCTGTATGTCCAGGAGTTATTGTCAACTACAGGCACAGAAGATAGGAAACAAAGTAACTGCAGTCACAACCACGTCAATCTCACATAAATGCTGCAGGTTCACATGGCTAGGAGACATGGCCTTACCTTCACCCTGCTCACACCCCAACAAACTATTAGAAAAAAAGAGAGCAGTCCGCTAGTTCCCCCCATCCAGCTTGCAGTCCGGCCACACAAACATCAGTACCACTGCACTGGAGAACGTGCAAAAACATGCCCAGGGAGCAGGCAGATTCACCTGTTTTAGCTTATTAAAGTTACTGCGGAATTACTGCCTTAGAGAACAGAAAAGAAGGAGGGTGCAAGAATGAAGGGTTACAGAAAAAACATGTGCATCTGCTGAATAGTCCTGTAGTGCTTGTAAACATACAGGAATCTTTGTCACATAATTTAATTCAACAAATAAAAATATAAGATAATGCCACCAATTGCATCAGCAGTAAAAATAAAACTGACATTTTTGGTTTTTTTTTGCACAATGTTTCCAATTTTTGCTGACCTAAGTATCATGCTTCTGGTTCAATATTGGCTTATGGGCATTCCTGAAAAGTAAGCATGGGCTGTCATCTTACAGGTTGCTGCAGAACATGGAAACCCAGTGACAGAAGAGACTGATGCATTTTCAAAAAGGAACTTGAGAACAGCAGCTTTATTTGCTATACTTCATTGAAATAAATACCAGTGGTAAATTTAGCTTGGAGAGTCAGAACTATTCGTGGGCTGCAAGTCACAAAAACCTACATCTTCCAGTTCCAGAAGTCCACTTCATCCATGTGAAATTCAATTACCACAATCAGAATTACAGTTTTGGAAGTTACAGTAAATTTTCACAAAAAGATGAAATTAAAAAAATAAATTAATAAAATTATTTGTAGGTGAAGTTATTTCAATATTATTTGGCACTGGCAATATAAGTGAAAGATGATACAAAGTTCTTGGTGAAATGGAGAGAAAATAATAAAATATTCTTATACTACATACAGATATGCATGGAGAAAAAATCCTTCTCAAGCCCATGGTTAGAGTCTTTGACAATATTAATGAACTGACTGTAAAAGAAATAGTGAATATCACTCATCTGCATTTCATGGAGGC